ATAATACTATTAAATTTTAGCTACATAAATATTATTAAACAATATATTTAAATTTTTTTAAATATAGCAAGAAATTTTGTTTAATTAATTATTAATTTTTTATTATATTTACAGTAATTAACTTATTTTTATTCAACTTTATTTTAATCTACTCTACATGTTAATAATATAGAATTGTTTTATAGATGCATTGGAATAATTATTGAACAAAAATTTAAAAAAAATTAATATACTGCGTTTGAAGCTTCATTCATCTTGTATTGTACATTTTGATGATAACATCAATCACTTTCACAACTGTAAGCTTTCATAGTTATTTGTTCTATTTACATTAGAAATTATATTGTTATTGCTTTTTTTTTTATTTTTTTTTATTAATATTTCACCCAAATGTGTGTTTATTTGTGTATTGGTCTTCCCTGATGGTGATCGGCGCCAAGCGTATTTGCAGAGAGCGACGGCGACGTTTTGACAAACGCGTGCACGCCGCAATTTCAATCATCGGCGCGACGCGTATCTTGCTCATCAAATGCTTTCGGAATGGACGAGACGCATTATCTGCTCCTCTTACTCTGGAATCGCTCAGCTAAATTATTGTGGTTTCCCTCCGTCTCTCCGAATACAAAAAACCTTTGTTTTCCCACTGAAAGCCATTTATTTCAAAACGATTTGCAAAGTCAATAACCATATTATATTTTTTTTTCTAAAAGCCTCGGCACCGAATTGCTCGCCACTTATTTTCAACACGGCAGTGAAAAGTAGTGGAGCATGTCTGGCTTTTTTACTGAGTTTCACGAGGAAGTTTGATTAGGATTTGTTCGTATTATGGCTTTTTATTATTACCACAGCTTGAATGGGTTTATCGCTTTATTGAAGGAGGAATTTCGAGGCTTGCGTGAGTTTTATGTGGGATTTAATTCACATAAAACGGGAAAAGTCTGGATTTTTTTTTAGATTTTTTCAGCTCATATATTGTTCTTGTATAATCCTAAACGTCAAATGAGCTTATCGAAGTTAAAAATTTCAATTTCTTTTGTGTGAAATTGCAAAACTGATTTGATTTTCTTAAAAACCTTTTGCTTCAGGATAGAAAAAAAGTGCTTGCTGGAAAATAGGCAAATAAATTAAAAATAAGAAACCCACAATAATTATGAAAAGCTACCACGGAAAATTTGAATAAATAATACATAGAAATTTTCTTCAGGAAATTTTTTTCATAATTAACCAGATTTATTAATAAATCTAAAAAAAATTATACCTGGTTGAGGATATCCTCATTTTCTGTATCAAATGTAAAGAAGAATATAAAATGGAGTCAACTTCCTACCATTTCATTTTAACATTACAGTCACGAACGCCGAAATGTAAAGTCTCTTAGAGTTATTTTTTATTTTTTCAAATATAATTTTTTGCAGGGACTGCTGCTGTGTTTGCATTTGCATGCCATAAAGTCGAAAAAGGGGGCGAGCGCCGCGAGCGAGGCAAACAACGAGCAAACCAAAGGGAATATTTTATTATGCATTCCTCAAACATGCCTTCACGCGAGCCGAAGAGGTCTTATGCATATTTCACGAAAAGAATGCCCGCCGCATTTGAGCGCCGAAGAAAAATCTCATTTTCATATTATATACATTTCCGGGAAGTTTTTATTTATTTACTTTGTGTTCCGAAGAGAGAAATCCGCTCGCGTTTATCAATATTAAAAACAACGAGTGCCTCTGGCTGGAGAGAAAAATGAAGCACCATTCATCAGGCGCCGGGAATTATATGCAAATGCAAAAACCGGGTGCATTTTCGCATGCAAGGGACGCGCGGATCGATGGCAAAGGAAAAGAGACACGAAAACTAAATCATCCCTCAGCATGCACCACGTCGGGGGGTTGCGACCATCCCTAGGGAGACGACAAAACACAAAACATCGCTGCTGCTGTGTTATGTTCCAACCCCCTTAGTACGTATGCAACCGAATAATGCGGAATAATAGGCAACGTCTTTCCTAGACCTCGTTTTCTTCTCCCTGGCCAGATCATTTAATTTATTCGCAGCTAAGTAAGTAAATCATATTATCTCGCTGGCTGATGAGGGGTGTATAAACTTCCCAAAATTTCCACCCTCCTCGCTCAACTGATGCAAAACCACCCCTCACGAGCCATTTGCCCGCCATCAAGTAGAAAACGAGTTGCCCAATTAGGACCGCTAATGGATTTTTATTGTCCAATTACGGCGCTTTTTTGCACAAGACGGAGTTTGTACTTTCGCAGGGGAGGGACGGGGGTGATAAACGCGGGCGAATTTATTCCGACGCACGCATTGTGTGGCGGAATATGGAGGAAATTATATTTTTTTATATGCCGTCGTGCGGCAATCTGGCGGAAAAAAAGCGTAAGGATATAATTTGGGCGAAAAGAAAGCACGCAAGATGTGTCACGTGACTGCCGACAACAAATTACTTGTCATCCCCGCCGTGGCTGCGTCCCATCATGAAACGTCACTTTGCTGGCAGACCGGCAATAAGTCAACCGCGCTAAACACGCGAACACGAAAAACATTTTTTTCCGCTGATTCTTTGCAGGGGAAATTTATTTTCTCGACTTGGGTTTTATTAAGAGCGGCGCAGCTGCATCTTGGGGACCGAATCTCTCCCTCTCTTTACAGTGTAAATTGTAATGCGCACTCATGACGACGTCCAAATTAGGGTGCACCGAATTTGAATGACGCTCTCGTCAGCGCCGGTGCTAATGAAAATTAATTGCAGGTTTTCCACCCTTCACGCTTTGTGTTGTTTTAGAATTTTTATTTTTTTAACAAAAATAAAAGTGCGTGTTTTCTGCACGCGAGAAGGGTGGGTGAAAAAAATTGATACATCTCGTTTCTTACTCCTCCCTCCTTTCTGCACTCCATTTTCACCAGCGACGGCAAAAATAATCTCAATTAAAATTAATTGGATCGATGAAGACGCTTCATGCTTTTTTTCTCACTTTTCGCTTCTAACTGGCGGCGATCAGGTGGAATTTCTTACGCAGCTCACATTGTTTGTCTGCGAAAAGCTGTATGAACAGATTTTTTTGTATCTTATTCATTCTAGTGATTTGTTTTAAATGTTAAAAATAATTGAGAGGTATTTATGATCACTGCAACTCCTTTACAACATGTCGGGGCCAAGATAGTACCTTTGTGATATTATTTTATAAATGTTTGATGTCCAGGTTGTTTTGAATTATTAATTATGAGCTCATAATTGCTTTTTGCTTGGATCTGAAAGCATATTAAGTCCGCAGCTGCAAAATTTTCATCTCATTTTCTTTTTCATCAGTTCATTAATTAAAAATCCAAAATATAATGGAAATGAAGAAGTCGGGCTTTTCCTCGTTGCAAAAAATTGTTTTTATTCAAAAACAAACTGCTCAACCAGTTTCGGTCACGGTCTGCGACCCTATTTCGTGAGCAAGAAAAATACAAAAAATCAGCAAATTTGAAAAAAAAAAAACTTTGACATAAAAATAAAAATCTTAAAACTAACAAATTCAAGTACCAACCTATTTCATGAGCAAACGCGCTGCTCGCTGACTAATACAAGAATGAGCTAGCTAAAGACTATACTATAATGAATGCAAATACTTTGCATTTTCCAGAACAACTTGGGTTTTCTTTTTCTTATCATCTCTTATTGCAATTTGTTAAAGCGTTAAAGCTCAACCTTTGGTATAGAATATTACTTGGAAACCTCGATTGTATTCCCTTCTGTTCAGGGTCGTCGATTCATTATTGGCTTATTGCCGCTCTTGTGGAACGAACGGAGCAGATTGCCGCTTTTATTATTTCACTCGTCGCAATCCAAATATGCACACACGCCAAGGAAAGGAAAACCATGTGCATGCATGCACCAGGGACAAGGATTGCGCAATAAAATACAATTTATTCCGTTTCTAGTCGCAAGGGCTGCGGGTCTTTGCGCCTCGATCGTTCTCTCATCCGTACAGCAGCGGATAATGGCGCACGGTTTTACAACGATGACGACACTGTGTGTTTTACGTCTTGGTAACGTAATATCAAGAAACGAGAACCGTGTCTCCGCTGCTTCTTTGTATCTGCTGCGCCCATTATTGTTGCATGTCTCGGGTTCATCGCAACGTACTTGATTGTCGGCCTTTGAGTTGAATTGCCATCGAGTGCATTAAATCGTCATGGTTTCTCGGCAGATGATGCACTCCTGTTACATTTTTACGATTGCTATACTGAAGCTCATTAAAACATTGTTGAAACGGCTTTGTGCTTGCGATGTTGGTCTAGGGAAACAGGTCGTGCAAGGTATACGTGAAGGCCGAGTTGCATGATAAGGCCGAAGCACAGAGATAATTTGAGGTCAAAGCCTGTAAATGCTTGCATATGCAACCTGGCTATCATTCATGTTGAGCATGTTGCATACAACATATTTGTTCTATTTTCTATAAAATCAATCTTTTCAAACTGTTTAATTGAATTTACATGCTAAATTTATTATTTCAATACATTATATTTTATTTGCTAGCATAATTAAATCATATTATAAACTTTTTTTTAATTGAAACGGATTAGAATTATTCAAAATATTTATGACCTCTGGCGTTGTAGTTTGTTTCACAAAATTCTTATCAAACTCTGGTTTATTTACAATGAGGAAAAAAAAATAAAAGCAAATCCAGCCATCAAGTTTGGTTTGTTTTGCGGCCCTTTGAATTTTATTGCCTATTGACAAGCGCGATAAGGGCCAAAAAGGCGCGATAAACTGCTGCCTACATTATGAGGCACATTATCCAGGGGATTATCATTCTTCCCGGGCAGGCAGCCAAGTCTACCAGATAAACCCTTTGTTGTGCCATAAATATGAGCATGGCACAGAGGCCAAAATGTTTCGCATTTATCGCTGCGCTTGTGTTGTTTTATCTGGCGTCGAATTAAAATTTCTATCCGTGGTGGACAAAGGAGGGGTGAATCGGTGAAAAATACCAGTTTTAAATTAATTCGTTCAATGTATATAGTTTATTTGCTCACTGAGTGGTTGTAATTTAAAAAAACGTCTGCGTGCACAATTCAACAACAGACTTTATGATTAACTTAAAAATCGTTCGCATCATACCATGCACATCACACAGGCCAAATGTGAAAAGTATGAACAGCTCAGAGCAATGAGCGTAGAAATTAAACTAAATATTGGTACATTTAATTGGTAGAAGAGAATTACTATGGAACTTAAATCACCATTTTCGTTTGTAAGCATTCCCAGCTGCCCAAATACACCAATTCCAGTTCAATTCGACAAATTTCCACAACAAGAATTTCCATGGAGAGTGCAGCTGGGGACATGCAACTGTGCCTGCACGAGGGCAACACTTAATATTCTTTACCTTGAATATCACACGTAAAACAATAAGTTACAATCATTTTCTTCTCCGAGTTAAGTACATTGATATTCTCAGATGCACTGACTTCAGTCGATTACACATTTTGAGGGAATACAAATTTATGAACCTCTCTCTATTGGTGACGGCGCTAGTATACTAATTGAGGAATTATATGATGAGGTCAGGTAAAACTTCTCGCTGATAGAAGAGCACGTAGCCAGTGGTGAACTCTTCGTCTTGCGGACTTCTCTTCATGGTGGACTCGTCATTGTAGTTGTACCACTCGTTTGTGCGAGGGTGTTTGGCATAAGCTGTATAGTGGCCTGCTGAAGCACCTACAACGTCAAATTGTCAATCAAATTTAGTTTCAATAACTCTCTTTCGTCTTTTACTTACCACCAAAGTGGCAAACAACTGAGTAGAGGTTGAAAATGTTGACTCTGGACTTGCTTCCAGGTTGCTCAAGACGTAGTCCGTGAATGGGGAATGTAACCTTGTTGTCTAATTTAGAGATGGATCGTTCGTTAAAAACAAACCTAAAATATGACAATGAGTTACAGAAAAATACAAATAAACCAGAATTTTAAAGACCTTTTTAAATGAATGATGAGTATATCAGGGTATCGCCACACAGTGAGAGTCTTCGTGGCACACTGGTTTGTTCGACACTTGGGACAGTACCACGGATTATCCTTATCCAGCTCCTCACTTAAATAGGCAAAATTAAGACACCTATTTATATTAAATCTGTACAAGTTACCTTTCTGAAAAGGCTTGAAGGCAGTCGTGGATGGAGAGGGGGTCATTCCACTTTGGACCTTTCATGCTTTCGTGTTCTTGGGGTTGATTTGCAAAAGGCAGGTTCAGTCCAGTAATTGGATCCAAAGGTCCCATCAATCGAATGGCCAGAGAGTCATCAGTCTAAAAAGATTGATGGTGAAATGATAACGCATCACATTCAGTCCCTAAACTTACTCGAAATACTATTTCAGGATCCTCTGGGCTCAAAACACAGCCAATGCAATGTTTGTTGAACATGCACCTTGAGCATGTTGTTCCCTAATCATTAGAATAAATTTAGAAAATGATGAAAAAATGTCCCAGTCTTGATATACCTTCCCTCCAACAAGCAGAATTTGGAAATCAACATTAGGAGCCAAGTGCTGCAGAGTTTCGTAGAGAACTTGGCCTGAAATGTGGCTTGGAAGTTTCACCAACCGTGGATGGCCGATCAGTCTCATCGACTTTTTGTTATTGCTGCACTCTTCTCCCACAACATCAAGGCGGAAAACCACAGTAATTTGTAGTGTGCTGATGATGAAAAAAAACATCATTTCTGACTAATTTAGGTTATTAGAAATTTACCGAACAATCCGCTTGTCCGTTGCCGTCATGGTGGTGAAATCAACGTCTGGGTTCACGTCCAAACGGCAAAAGGGACATTTCACATCACCCGGTTCCTTTGATTTCCACATCTGAAAAGTTATACATAGAATTGTAAAATAATTCAAACACAATGAGAACTTACTTCAAGACACGAAACACAGACGACGCATTTACAGGACTCATGAATTTTTAGATTGTTCATGGTTATGCTTTCTTCTAAACAAATATTGCACGTAGGCCAGCTTGACTTGCCCACTGGCGATGCAGCCAGCTTCCTGTTCACCTCAGCCTCAGTAGGAACTGTAACGACATCAGCGTCCAACCCAGCATTGGGTCTGAGATCAATAGGTTGCAAACAGTCGTCCTCATCTTCATCATTGAACGGAGATTCAAGAGCCTAATGGAATGCAAATCAATTAGAAATTCAAAAGAATAAATATAAAGCATTACTTGAACAGGAGATGGACTGGGCGATTCAGTTGCGACTGGGGGTGGCAGCATTTCAACCGCATAAATGGTCCGAAGTTCTCCATTGACAAACCTCAAATGGTGTCCGGGTTCAAGAACTTTGCTGATGTGGTTGTCGAGTACCTCACAGATTGTAATAACAGTGTCTGTTGCAAGTCCAAGGACTCTGATGAGTTCATTTTGCAGATCTCTGACACTTTCAGACTTCTTAAGGGTAAGCAAAACACGCAAGGGTGAAACGGACACGTCTGCAGGCAGGTAGGTAATGCCTGAAATTGTTACGATCAATTAATTTTCTTTTATCATCATGGTTCAAAATTCATACAAATCTGTCGCTCCATCGCATGAGGCAGGGGAACAGAGAGGTACATGAATGGCTCGTATGTGACAGACACGTGCTTGCAAACGTGGCAGATCACTGTGCTTTTGAACTGTCCTTGGAATGAATCAACAATGATGGATTTGTTGATGGCCAAATGCTTCTGCCAAAAGGCATCGGCCTCCAGCTCTTCAGATTTGTCAACAGAGTCCTCTTCGCTGTCCATCATCTCAACTTCTTCGAGTTCACCTGTTTGGATTACATTTTTAATTCATACCATTATTTTGCTTTCTTCTAATTTACTATTCATTTTGGCATGGGAAACCAGTTTGAGCCGTTTGTTGGTGTTTGAGCAAGCTTCGTGAACCGAGTCTCCATCCAGGTGATTTGACAGGTCATTGATAATGTTAGTCTGCTTGAGGCGCTTCCCATTCAGCAATGGCAAACCTATAATAATCAATTATAAAAATTATATATGAAATTTGAGGCACACAATTATTACTTTCTGTCTCTTTTCGAGGCAGATTGGCGACGGAGTTTTGATCTTCCCCTCCAAGTGCAAGATCGGTGCCATTTCTGATGCTGGTAAGGTTGTGTACACCTATAATTAACGATTTAGAATGTGCTATTTACATTTCATTTAAAACACTCACTTCTAGGTGAGGTATTCGAAGAAGCAGGAAGCTTTCTGCACGTGGGACTGAACTTTTCTGAGTCAAACTTAATGAGGTTGTTTGGCTTTGGCTCACACTGTTGTGGGTCTAGGACGTTGACGTTGGAGGTTTTGGCAAATTTCATGTAGTCATTTACACAATGCAGGGATCGTTGTGGATGAAGATCAGCTTGGTCTTGATTACGGGGCCAGTAGAAGTAGTCATTATTGTATTGGTCTGGCTGAGAGGCATCGTTGGGAGACACTGGTGATATTGGGAGTAATGGTGTGAGATGCTGCTCCAGGCAGTTCTTCTCAACAAACACGTTTTTGCGGCTGATAAAGAAGAAATATTAGTCTTGATAATAAGGACATTTTTATAAATTTTACCTCGTCAACAAAAGGGCAACATCAACATTGTTACTCCTGATTTCCGACTTGACCCCTCTTGCACAACCCAATGGTTTGAAATCTGGAGCACTGAAGTCGTCTTTGTTTTCCATCTTTTTAGCAGCATTGAGCTGCTCATGAAGTGAATCAAGCAAGAGAGTAAGAAACTCTTGGCAATCATGCTACAATTCACAAAAGATGCATAAATATATTAATTTAAAAAAAAAATTAAACTAGTTTACTTGACGGTAGTCCTTGAATTGAGGGTGCAGAACAGCGAGACTTCTCTTGAAGTAGTATGGAGAGATACAACTACTTTTTCCACCCCACATTTCAGACATCAGGCGTGAAAAGTCTTGAGTTAAGTTATCGGAGCACTCTAGAGAGGAATTTATTTAACAAATTATTATGTTTGAGGCAGTTTGATAATACCTGATTTAAAGTTGATGCCATTTGAACACGAGGCTTCTTCAGGCTCCGATCCATTCACTTGTCTGTTCCTTTCAGTCAGGAAAAATCTCACCAACGAGGGAGTGGCGACCAAGCACTGGATTCCAGCCGACATAAAGCAAGTGTTTCCCAGGTTTTTCAGGCCACAACAACCAGGCATGAAGCTTTCCTCTGAAAATTCAGAACAAAATGAAAAACCACTATTCTCGTACGAGGCCTAAGAAAGAGAAACCTGAAGAACCGTTGCTTGTTGTTTCAACTTTCTTTCTTTCAGGTTTCAAGTTAATCTTTTGAGAAGGCAACTGAACAAATAAATTTTTTCTTGGCCCTAGAAGAGTATATTTTAAAGAGCGGGTGAAGTTGTGTGAAATTCGATACCTTTGGGTGCTTCTTCTTCAGCGGGCCTGTAGAGGACGAGTTGGTTGTTTGGTGTGTTGGCCAGGCTGGGGTCAGCCCTGTCCACATCGCCATCAATGCAGGCATCAGTCCTTGCAGGCAACGGACCTCCTGCCACTGCAGTGAAGGGGTCATTCGATGGAGGAAGAGAGGCAGTCGGGCATTCGGCTCGTTCTTCATCGTACCTTCAAGAAAACGTAAATCGTAAATTCACGACTGCACTTTGTTTTCAGACAAATACAAATTACCAGCCTGAATTGTCTATTCCCATGTTATTGAAAGTGTCCTGAATGGGCTCAGTGGACCCTGAGCTGGACGGGCCTTGGTCAAAGTCGGCCAAGTTCAGACTTTCGGCCAAACTATCAGCTGATAGGACCGTATCACAAAGGTTGTCGATCAAGAACGAGTTGGAGCTGCGGTCTTGCGGTTCCTTGTCCGTGATCAACAGTGGCTCGTCGTCTTCAGGAAAGCCAAAGGTGTTTTCTTGCAGGTTGTTATCTCCGCACTCCATGAGAAGAAGATCTAAACAAAATATTCGATACATTATTTGATGCAACAATTATAAAATTTGGCAATAAATTTTAATTTTTTTAACGACTCTGATCAAATCCAGCCAAATCAAGTCTTTACAACAATAAGAGGCATTTTTATGCAATTACTGAAGAATTTTTAACCACCATTGTTGAAAGAAAAGACTTAAATTGAATAATCAATAAGGAATTCTTAAATAGATTTGTTTTCAGGAATTTTTTAAATATTCAAACGGACTGAAAAGAATTTTAAAACATTCTATAAAATTTACATTGAAATCTCTCGATGATCAGCAATGACGGGAAAATCAAGGAACTTGATAAATTTATATAAAAATAAATAACGTCTTTCAAGGGGAAGGGGAAATGTTTTCTAGAAGACATTTGATTAGGAAGTAAAGCGGCATTGTACGGTAAAAGCATCAAGCAAACCATTAATTAATCATGAGACTCCGCGAATGCACGCAGCACGAACGCAACTTTCACTTCTGCTCGCCGACTGTGGCACATTGAAATTGGCACAAATTTCCGTCGCCAATGACTCTGCGAATGAGCCGAACTTTGGAAATACGAGCAGAGGAGCCGTCAAGGACGCTCAAGGTGCCGAAATCCGGTCAAATCGACCTTCCCCAAAGCAAATAATCAAGTGCGAATGCGCTGGAGACAAGTGTCATTGACACTTGCCTCGCTTGTAAAAATAGACAACAAAACGACACCAGGGCCGCATCCATAAAAGGCAGAATTGCGCGAATTCGCGCACCCCACCGATTTCCGGGCCTGAATTTTGGATTTTTCAAAAACAAGGATTTCCCGTTTACCGATTGCCAAGGACGGCCGGGGTCTCAGCAACGATCTTGCGGCTGAAATTCGCGTTTTCAGCTCCACTGACACTTGCTGTATCCAGCCGCCATTTAATGTGAGGAAAGGGTTACCCACCAGCCGTCGGCTCTCCTCGTGCAAAGACACCGGCGCGAATTCTTGAGCTCGGCAAGAATTTTCCTCGATGTGTGCGCAGACAAGAATTTTTCAAGGTGCGCAGGTTTCAAGCGGAAAAAATCAGATTTGAAAGCAACAATGTCCGTGCGATCGACCAATCCAAGACCAATCGAGGCAAATCAAATGCAAATCAGTTTTGCCAACACAATAAAATTCTAAACATTTAAAAACATTTTCTTTATTCTAGTAACCAGACTAAAATCAATAATTCAATCAAAATTCTAATAAAAAAATTTAATTTTTGATCAGATTTGATTTATTTTAAAAAGAAATAATGTAAAAACGTCTAACTAAATATTTTTCATAGGTTGGCAGCATTCGTGCTTCTTAAAAGAAAGATCAACAAAAATGGACGAAGTTGATTAATTCTCTTGTCGGCCACTTAATTTAGTAGAATTTCAACGTAAACTTCAACTAATCTGTGTCCCGATATGGTAAATTTTCTCAATTAATCTTGTTCAAAATTGCTTGCTAAATTTTTGGCACTGGATTGTACATAAATACCTCTTAATCTCCCATTATATTTCGAGGAAGTGACTTGTTGGCACTGAAAACGCCCTTTTACTTTCAGATGCAGTTTATGCTTTTGTTTAGCCGGCAAGGCAAACTTCGTCTTCAAAAATGGTATCAGGCTTATCCCGACAAAACAAAGAAGAAAATCACGAGGGAACTAATCACCACGATCCTCGCCCGGAAGCCCAAAATGTGTAGCTTCCTAGAGTGGAAAGACATGAAAGTTGTTTACAAAAGGTCCGTGCAATGTTCTTGCTGTGTTCAAATAATTTAAATGGAAATCATAATATTGTATTCTTAATTTACAGATACGCCAGTTTATACTTCTGTTGTGCTATTGAGCAGGATGACAATGAGCTGTTGACTTTAGAGGTCATTCACAGATATGTGGAGCTGCTTGACAAATACTTTGGAAGTGTGAGTACTAATCAAACCACGATTTCAAATTATTATTTATTAAATTTTGCTTCAGGTCTGCGAACTGGACATAATTTTCAACTTCGAGAAAGCCTACTTCATGTGCGACGAGCTGCTCCTCGGAGGGGAAATTCAAGAGACAAGCAAGAAGAATGTGCTGAAGGCAATCGCCGCGCAAGACTTACTGCAAGAGGTCAGTAACGGAGAGAATGCAATTGAACTTTGACCTACCCTAGTCCCCAAATCACGATCCCGAAATTTTTACGTGTGTAGCGAGAGTTCGTGATAGAAAAAAAATCCTGCTTCCTACCTGTCAAAACGCTTACGGTAGTTGATCGTTTGTCAAGTTTAGCTAGCGCTTTTGTTTTATTTTACAAGGGGATGACGTTTTTAATTAACCCTACAAGTCCCTCTATACTTTGCCTCTCCTTGCCAGCTTTTATTAATTGCTTGGAATACTTATTATGCATTTTATAATAATTGATTCCTGTGAGTAAAGATTTTAATATCAGAGAACTTTAAAGTATTGGAATAACCTCTGGAAGCATTATATAATTATGATTAATTGATATATAAATCAAAAGTATATAAAAATTTAACTTAAATCTACTGTAACACTTCTTGCTTGTTGTTGAAGTCACTGGTATGCTCGAATTAATTAAATTATTTGTTGAATTGCTTTGATGTTTTCACACCGACGGTTATACTTACATTTTTTAATCAAAGTACTGCCCGTGATTTTAACCTTATGAGTTTTGACTTTTAAGTGATATTGATTAACAGAACATCACATTTCTTGCCAACATAGAACTTGCCTATGAACAAACAAAATAATATTAAATATGTTATTGAAATAATTTATGTTTTGCATGGTGGATTGTGTATGTAATTTCATTGTTCCTCTCATTCTTCCTTTGTCAGTTTCCACGCCTGGTTTTGATAAAAGTTATTTTCTTTTTTCCAACCCCGCATGTGTCGCAAACAATTTAACCTTCCCACCTGTTTACAAGCTCAAATGATTGTAAACAAAATAAAAGTTGTGTAATTCCTCAACTAACTGTGCCACCAGAGTTGTTTGTTTTCACCTCCGAAAGAAAAGGCGGCGAGATCATTCTTTCTTTTCCTTGTGTGCTCTTCTTCTTCTTGTTTCCTTTGTTTCTGTTCAATTACTTAAGAAGTAGTTTCCGGGGAGTTGATTGGTGTTTGGTATGCAAAGGACGAAGCGGTGGAAGGTGCTCTTAGGGAAATCGGCCTGCTCTGAGAGGACTGGACTCGACTGCCTTCTTTGCCGACCGCCTGCTCGACAGCCAGCCGCTTGCTGCATCACACAATAAAATAAATCACACCTTCCCGCTGCTGCTGTCAATTAATTATTTGCCTCGCACTTCTTTCCGAGTTTCACGATCAAAAAGCCATTCCGCGCTTCTCACTGCAGTACTTGAGTAGAAGAAAATTGAAATATTTTTGCTATCCACTCTATGAGTTGTGAATTAGAATTTAATAGAATTTTTATCGCTTTCCAACCACGCCGCAGCTATTATCATATTATATATTAGTTTTTGTCTGAAATGTTATGTATCCTATTTGATTTTTATCGTTATTAAAGGTGTCATTTGACCAGCATCTCACGTCTGTTTTTTTATTTGACCATCTCTCACTTTTGGTAAAATCTTTACTCACAGGTCGCTTCCCCTCTATATTATTATCTCTGCTTCTCTCCTGCAGCTTTCAAAGTAGCCACCCTCCCGACCCTTTCACATTTTAGGCCCTTTAGCTAGACACTTGTGTTTCTCATCATCTGTGATTTTGCTCTTTTCTCTGACGTTCCAGGAAGAGACTCCGCAGGGGCTGTTCGAAGATCACGGGCTGGGCTAATTTGAATTAGACATGACAGACAAAAACACATTCCGACTCATCAAAACTCTCGCTAGGAATTATAAAAGTTTTCTGAAGAAAAAAAACTTTCAGTATTATAGTAATAATAGAAACTAGCAAGTCATATTTTTGTATAATCTGCCTTCTACGCTTAATGTGCTTGCGTTCTGGATAGTTAATCAATATTTTTGCGAATGAGATCTAATTTTTTTTTTTTAAGATTGACAGGCATGAACTTAGTTCTCAAACCTGACAAGCAAATTTCATTCCATATGATGCATTTTATTTTTTGTTTTGTGATTGACACTTATTCAATGTGTGTGATCAATAAAGTGCAATTGATGTTTCTCAACTGAAATCAAAATAATTGACATAATTTGCTATAGTTTTTTGTTCTCGTATTCACACCTTTTAGCTGCACAAAAAACAACAACAAGACAGAGAAAATATACATCATGTATAAAATTTGGCCAAAAAAGTAATGAAACTCATTTGCTTTCTATTTAAATTTTAAAGCATTTGCCCAGTTATGCAATTTTTTAAAAAGAGGGGCAGTGTTAATTAATTGTTTATAAAGTAGTCGCTTAAACATTTTTTTAAAATTGTAATAGCATTTCTATTTACTTAATTTAATTATTTTATAATTGTATTAAATTTTGGTTTTAATTATTTATCTCGATAAATTTAAATAATAATATTAGAAATAATAGTAATATTAAATTACTAAAAAATTGAGCATAAAATATATATTTTTTTTATTTGACAATTTTTTTCTTATTATAAATGATATATTTTATTATTTTAAATTAATAAATTTATTTTTTTTTACCTGGGGAGTTATTTATAAAGAGTATAAAAATCAAGTTTTCACCCTAAAATATTAATTTTTTTAATTTTATCTCTTTGTTTAATTAAGCATACGGCAGTATTAATGACGCTATTATGTTGAGCAGTTAAGTCAACTTCAAGTGATTTATTTTTAACAAAGGAGTGCTCGTCGCTTTATTGTTTATTATATTGCTCAAAGTGCCCGTGTTAATTTCCAATCGAAGCCACTTTCTACGTGTGCACCAGAAGGCCAATAAATAATAATCAATGCATAGAAAGTGCGGCGATGACTGGCCAGCGTCGCTGTCTGTCGGAGAACTAAAGTGATAAAAGTCCGTCAGAGAGGATGAGCAGAAATCTGCGGCGCGCCTTCATCTCATTCAAGGATCATCTGATGAGGCAATGCCTCTGGCATTTGGCTCCGGCAAAAACCCGCCGAGATGCAGTTTTTTCTTCTACACAATCTGTAGCACTTCCTTGTTCGGACTTCGGAGAGAAAAAAACCCAGAACAATCAATATTGTTTTATTTTCTATTAGTTCAAAGGAGAGCGGCCAATCTAGGGAGAAGCACAAATATTTACTCTTTTTTTATTATGTTTTATTTTTGCAAATATACACAAACTCCCTTCTTTGCGTTATTTTCTTGGGTCTTCTATTTTATCTCGAGTGGAAAAAACGAACACGCTTGTTTGCAGCAGCCGTGCTTGCTTGCTTAGTCATGAAAATTTATATTCTTGGCGAGCTACCTGGTCGCCCGCCAGTGAGTTGCGCGCACCAAGCATCGCATCTTCGCAGCACAACAAACTCACGTGCGGAGGAATCCGGAGACCAGACGGCCTTTGTTCACCGCGGCGGCCTCACCATGCCTCTCTTCGCCCGGCTCGTCGCGATTTTCTCATTGGTAAGTTCTTCGATGCCATTTGTTTGTTTTCCTTCGAATTTATAATCGTGTCTATACTGACTTTTAAAAACAGCTAACATTTGGTGGCCTTTTTACGTAAAAATATTAAGACGTACTCAGCTATTTTGTTATTTATATCATACACAAGATCGTGCCAAGATAAAAGGCACAATTTTATGTGAATATTTCTTAAAATATAAAGACATTAACGTTTTGGAAAAAAAATGACACCAGCACTAATCTAATGATATAATCGCTGATTTATGAAATGCCTTATTTGGAGTATTATTTTATTTTCATTAATTTTGTTTAGAGTTCTTTTATGGATGCCCCAAAACTTAAAAATTAAGGAGAGGTTTTAACAAAAACTGTTCCAAAAAGACAAGAAATTTAATTCAATTTATTGGGAGAACTGAAATGTTCTAATTTAACATTGTTTCTTAAAGGATTTGCTAATTAAAATAATATTTTTCTTCAAAATTGGTGCCATCAAAATTGACAAAATTTTCGGAAATCACGTTCGTATCACCCCAATTATAAGATAGGAAAATAAAATCCTTAGGTCAGTTGACATAAAAAATTTGCATTGATCTTATGGGAAAAGATTGATAAGTTTTTATTCACAGTTTAAATGTCATAAGCTCCTCGTTAGTAAACTATTTTTGAACTTTTTCTTCTTATTAATTTATTCACATTGTTGAAAATTGTTGAAAAAAACACAAGTACGGAATTTTTGGGCAAAACGGAAAGAATTGAGAAGGATTTTTCATCTTCTTATTAAAATTTATTTACAATTGTGCAGGCAATAATTTCTTACTTAATTTAGAAGAAAATTAATTAAATCTATTTGCATATTTTTCATTTATTGCCGTTCGCAACTTGGCTTGATTTATATTTTTACAAATATTTCCTCTTCGCATTATTTTTATATTGAATATGGAATCTCCAGAATTTATTTTTAAATATAAAAATATTTTCGCAAACGAAATTTGAAAGTTTTCACACTTTGCTTGCGCAAAATGGCCTTAGAATGGACAGCAGATGTCAAGAGATTTGCATGCGTAATCCCAATTCGCGCGCGTGTACCACTTTATTGAAAGTGCAATCGACAAATTCAATTTTGAGCGGTCATTTGCCATCAAAGAACAATAATTAACCCCTCGCGGGCATTCATAATTTGACTTGTCATATAAATTGGGCCTGATGATAAAATAATTGGCGCGTTCTCACTACTCGGCTCCTTTAAATTGAAACAATTTCGTTGAAGACTTTATTTATTTATTTTGTGCACGCTACACTACTTTCTCTTTTGGCCATCATCGCTTCAGTTGCTTTTGCATGCAGTTATTCTCGGCTGTTTACTTATTTAATCCTCTCGGAGATGGAATGCCTTATTAGGCTGCACGCCGAAACAATAACCTCTAATTACATCGTGTGCCGCGAAATCGCGGAAATTTTGCATGCGAGCAACGAGCGGATAAATCAAACACGCGTCGTTTGCTTTGCCAAAATAGACATCTAGTGAGGAAAGAACGTTTAAATGGGTTGGTAATTTTCAAAATTGCTCTTTCTCTCTCCGCCGCGAGATTATATTTTTGGCTATTCATTATTATTAACGCATCAATGCCGTGCATAATCATGATTTGTTTTGTAACACTTTTATGGGTCACGCTACCGTAGAACTTTAAAAGCGCGTGGTCATTATGTCATTATTTTATTGGCACCATTCGCACTACCAGAGAGGGACATAAAAATTTAACGTCATGAACGGCAGCAGCGAAGACCACTGGTCATTTGCATGCTTTAAACGGCTGAAGGTGAAAATAAAGAAAGAAAAAAGCGTTCGATTCGCCCGCGTAAAAAACTATCAAATTATTGGGAAACAAAATATTTCGTTATCATTGAAATTTTTATATTGAAATTATTTATTAGTTGGAATATCCGAACTTCCAAAAATATTGCTGTTGATTTTATTTTTAAATTTGATTCAACATATTTGTATATTTTTGAAAGGCACTCGAATTTCACCTTCTATAAAATTCCTTCCACCCATATAAAGTGTCAAAAAAATAATTTATTCCCGGCTTAAACTCCATAGATGTCCAGACTTTGAATGGCCAGTTAGTGTCAAAATGTTCGATTCGCGCGTGTGGATCTCCGGGGAGCAATTTTAACGCATCCGGGTCATCCCGCAATAATTTTACGAGCCTGGGTGGGCCATTTTATAATGTAAGGCTCTCGTGGATGCGAATTTCCTGGCAAAGTGGTTTTCTTGATAATATTCGTCTGCTCAGCGCGGGGCACGCTTCTTCGTTAATTAAAAGTTAATTTGTGGCGCCCACACGCACCGCCAATTGGGCCTGAAATTATTGGTCAGAATTTTATAAGAGTCGCCTCTGGAGAATTGAAAATTGAGGTTCTCGAGGATGCTGCGATCGCTTTTTTGCGTCGGAAGACTTGAAAAGAGAATCGCGCGCGTCCACGATGCGACGAGCCGGATCTGAATTACATTATCCCCATCGCGCAGCTGTGCGTGACAGCGAATTTGCTTTTTCTCCTCTTCACTTGCATACACAGATATTTTGCTGAGTAAATATTTTCACCGTGTTTTCTCCTTTCATTGGCATTGTCAGCCTGAAATTTTAAATGAAATAATACTTTTGAATATTAACGCAGAAATTTTCCAGAACAACATGAGTATAATTTTGATTAATTAAATTTTCCTATAATATTAATTAAATCACTTTTAATACACATCATACATTAACAATAATTAATTAAATCATGTGATTATTGGTGATTATCATGAAAAGAGTTTTTCAAAATTAAATAATAAACCTATTAAATTGCGTTGTCAGTGAAAAATCTGTGCAAATATAATATTGTAAAATATCTCAACTAACGAACAAACAATTTATCTAGTATTAGTGTTATTGAAAAATTATTAAATTGAATTAGGTTTGGATTTGATTAATTATATTTAAATTTTCATGAGTAATAAAAACAAAAATATTAATTAAACACTAAAAATATTTTTAATTTATAAAATAAACATTTTAGTAATAAATGTTATAAAATTAAATCGAATTAAATCACAAAAGTTAAATCTTATTAATAATGGTAGAGGAAATAATTCAGTTTTGTAAAAAACAATATTTTTTTTATTTAATAAATTAAAATTTGTATATAAAAAGATTGATTGCATTGTATTTCAAAGAACATTCATTAAGGAATGGAGTATTTTAAATTGACCTTTTGACCGAGTTTAATCATTTATAACACTTGTTTTTAGTTTCTCTTTCACTATTATTCTAGTAAAATGATTTAATGTAGTTTAAAGATTTTTAAATATTCCAATCAATTTCTTATTAATCATTTTTGACAAGTTACAGGCAAGCACGATGAACTAAAGAAATTAAAAAAAAAATTCGTCGTGACGTTATGAAGTATGACAAGGAAGAAATTGCTAAATATTTTTTGCAAACTTTTAAAGAATACACAGAAGGCCGCATTAGCACAAATCACGGTCGTCTTCCTTGAACCAATCAATCATTTTTCAATACATATTCAAAGGGCTCGTATAAACATTAAGTTAATGGCGCCGCCGCTTCTTTAGCACCTTCAAAAGAGCGCAACGCACGCACTTCTGATCAATCAATCTCGAAACGGATCCTCTCGCGGGAGCAGAAGACCTTCTGTTGCAAAAATGCCCACAAACAAACGATCTCTGCTGTGTATTCAAATAAGCCGTAGTGGCGCGAGCTGAGGACGAGGTCATCTTGTGTCTAATGCCTGGTGTTGTAAGCCGAGCATCTTCTTTCCACAGAGTCGTGACTTACATTTCGGTTTCCTCCTTTTTTTACTCCAATTCATTCCCGCGCTGCCCTTGATTGCCGCGCGTGACTTTTTCTCGCCCCCGGTTTTTTTTTTCTGCCCGGGATTAAATTAATTACGCGCGCAAATCGGCAAATCTGTGCGAAAGTTAGTGGGGATAAAAGTGTAATTTCGCCGCGCTGACCCCGGCGTGGAATCAGAGAATGGCCTTCGGACCGCGAACAGAAAGATCTTCTTCTGCTTTTTTTCGGCCGCGCAGCTCCCAATTTATGGTCGCCGGTGACGCGACCAACGCTTCGCTGATAATGTGTGGCAAAAGAAAAATGACGTTTCCGCGATTCTAGAGAAATATTTTTAATCCGCCTGTGTGTGCACAGCTGCGAGAAGAAGAAATAACGAGGAAGAATGGTGTGTTCTTCAGTTTTAACTTTAATGCTCTCTTTGTACTTTTATTTGCTAGCAGACGTTCATGGTGAGCGTGAAATGCGATCCATTTGGAATTGCGCACGCGGTGAATTGTTTATGGCTAATTGCAGCGGGATGAGATCATCTGCTTTTATATAGGAAATGTGTTTAAAAGTGTGGGAACCAATAATTTCAAAGGTTTTTATAAAAGCAATGAAACTAATGAATAAAAAGTTCGTATTTATTATAATTTCTTGAGATTTTTTAAAATTAATTACTAATTAGCTACGAGACCAAAATTACATCTCTAGTAAAATTAATTATTATATTAATTTGATGAATTTTAAGTTAGAGATTTAAAAAAAGGATCTTTGCATATTAGAGTGTTTGACGGGACTCGGTCCCGACGGGTCCCCGCGGGTTTCCCGCGGGACCGGCACCGTTTTCTTTAAGAGCAGCAGGAACGGGACGGGACGCGGGACCGGGAAATTGAAGTTCGTTGCAAAGGAAACCAGTTTTCAATTTCCTGTTCTGTCAAATGAATTATAATCTTCAAGTTCAGTCAAAATTTAATGTTTTTGAATAGCATATTTTTCTAATCGCACTTTCTTTTGAAAAAAATAAAATACATAATCAAAAATAAATTAAGAAATCGAGACAATATTTAGAAATTTGAGGTATTGATATAAATTAAGCAACCCGCAGTACATACGGGTAGTGATATTTGCATACCACGAAAACTGGACGATTAATAGCTGATTGCAGGAATCGGGACTCGGGACGGGTCCGGGAATTTCGTTTTAGGCACTCCCGGGAACGGGACCAGACTCGGGAAATTGTTTGAATAAAATTCGGGAACGAGACGGGAAAATTTTCAAAAATTGGTCCCGTCAAACACTCTATTGCATATTATGGATAAATTTTTACTGCACTTTTATAAACTTAAATATAAATAAAAATTCATTTTTGATCATTGATGAGGGGGGAAGAAATGAAATATTACTTCTTCCCTGGGAATCAAATATTAATTAGTTTTATTTGTTTACAAACAATTTTTTTAACTGTAATTTTTAGGCTCGTGCATTTTAGTGGATCAACTTTTTTGTACGGCTCGGAACGTTACAAAAATACATTTAAAATTTTAAGCGTGAATCAAGAAACGATTTTAATACGATTTGCACCTATTTAAAATCAAATAAAACCGATTATTTCTTCAATTTCCAACTTTAGCGACTAAAATGACAGACTTTGTCAACTATTTTCAGTCAAAAGTAGGATTTTCCAGACTGATTTCAAACAATATTGCCACAAAATTTAACAAAAACCAGCTAAAAGGTCTCTAAAGTTCTGTAAATTTAACTAAAAATAGTCTAATTTATGACACAAAAAAGGACTAACATTCATGGACATTATTTTCATTTAATTTTTATTTGAATCCTATTTTTTTTCAAACTCAAGCCCTTCAATAACTTATAAGGCTCCACTGTCTGACAGATGATGGTCAACCGGACGCCAAAAAAAAAACTGAATAGACTTAAATATCGAATAGGCGCAGAAACTATTCTGCGGTTCGCTTTCGAAGAACGCAAGTTTTTGCTCAGGTTGCCAAATAAATTTTGATGCGGATCCTTATCTCGTTCCATCATCGGTGTGCTTCGCAATAATTTTTTTTGTGCCCACACACTTTAGACTATAGTGATGCGCAATAAAGCATCTTTTTCCTTTCTATGGCGTATGTTTAACCATTATAAATTATTTGAGCCACGTTTTAGCATGATGAACGGCAAAAAGTGTTTCGACTTGACGGAGCGAGCGAGACACATGGCACATAAATAAAAGAGCAGTCGTGACTGTTTTTTCTCTTTAATTTCATTTCTGCTGCATTAATTTCGTAAACAAAAGCTTCAAATGTTCCCATACATTTTTACCAATTTCAGTTGATTTTTTATGAAACAAAAAATATCGTTTAGATTGATTGAGATAAAATCTCATCTTCTATCGCAATCTCTGTCATAAAAAAGGAAATTTTGAGCGATAAAAATGCGTGTCTCATTCATGTTTGACTGCATAGTCGTGATGGAATTTGATTTGGCAGAAGTTTTTGAAACGAAATTCGCGCTGACACACCTCAATTATTACATTAGGGATGAGTCACTTTCGTTTTAGCCTGGGAGTTTTTCTTTGGCTGCCCGCGATATAAAGCTCAAGGTTTGCGAGCTGATCGGCGCGGCGCGTCGATGGAGTTGTTTTTCGCACATCCCATTGTCCGCCGCGCGAGATGTTCACACCTGCTTTGTAAAAATGTCCGTTTAAGGCTGCTCGAGGACACATTTTTTCTTTTTGTCTAGCATCTTTATATGTTAGACTTCAATTCTTCAATAGAAAAGAAAAACTGAATTTGGTTGGAAAGAATTATTAAGAAGTGTTAAAATTTAAATAAAATGTATTTTATGCTGCAAAAATTTGATGCTGTGGAGAATTTTGTTTTCAGTGGAGGCAGCATTATCAAAAAATATTTTCAAATTAGATTCAAATTCAATTCAATCACTATTAATTTTTATTTTGCACAAATTTAAAATGAAGAAATCTAAATTAAAAAGCGAAAAAAAACGCAAATTTAAATAATTAAAATTTAGTTGACACTGAAGGAGATGATCATGGAAATGAAGAAGTCGGGCTTGTCTTCCTCTTCATTGTAAAAATGAGGACAAGCCCAAATTCTTCATTTCCAAAATTAAAATTTGATTCTAATACAATAAAATAAAATAATATTTAGTATTTATTTCTAAGCTGAAAATACATAAAATATTATTTGAAACTCAATCATACGAAAATAAATCAATAAATATGCATGTTGTTTGTAGAATTATGGATACATTTTTGTTTATCCGGCTCTTTGTTTTTCTCCTATAATTCATTGAAACCGGATTCAGGAATCGCGCGGGGCAATAGATCTTTATTTGACTCTCTGGCGTGCTAATAGGCGCATTCACCGTGGAATATTCAACTACGGCAATTAACTTTACAACCCAAAACACACCGCATGGGAGGCATTGAAGGTTAGCAAAGTATGCAAAACGATATGAGATGAGTTGCTGCTAATTCTCCGCTCGTTCAATAATGTTTATTGCCCACATTTCACACGAGCGCGCGCGTTTATTTTCATTTTTGTGAGATCCTCTTTAACAGCCATTCTCAATAATTTTTATTTATGAGGGGAAAATCAACAATTATATCCAACACAAAGGCAATTATCACATGAAGACTTGTTCATTGCATTTGCAATGTTGCAAGGGACACATAATTTATTCTGAACGCACGATGACGCAACCGTGCCAACCTTGCCCATGATTTTATGACAATACAACCCATTACCAGCTCTGGCATGCTTAAAGTATGCAGTAAATTATTTTTAATATATAAACTTTTAAATATCTAAATAAATTTTAAAAATATTAAAAACACGTTGTTCTAAGTTATTATCTATTTTAATTAATAAATATTATTAAAAATTATTTTTAAATTTCTAATTTTTTATAATTTTGGCAATATCTAATTATTTACAACATCTTAAGTTACATTTTTGTTGTTTCTAAATACTTTTCTTTTAAAATTACAAAAATTTTATATTTTATATAATGTTTTGCCCTCTTCATATTGCTTTACCATAATTATCTAACAATAGTTTCTCTTATTCTCTTGTGTTCATTTTCTCTGAATGTTTATGTCATTTGATGTTTTCAGTATACATTTTACAAGAAGAGTACTAAACAGAAATTTGTGCAAATATAAAAGTACAAATTGAAAATATATTTTACTGAACGCGGAGTAATTAAACTTTATTGTTTTCTCATATTCATTTTTCTTCATCCTACTGCTTTATATTAAAAAACTTGTTATTAAATTTTAAAAATTATGTAGATATCTGAGGAAATATTAAATGATAAAATTTAGATTTAATTTAAGTTAATTAATTATTTAGTTAAGCTCTAACTTTTTCCATTTCAAAAATAATAACAAAAATGACAATCTCCAGTTTTGGTCACTGTATGCGGCACTTTTATTATTTGAGGCAGAAAATATTTAGAAAAAATCAAAAAATTGCACAAACACCGCATATTATTTATTTTTATTGAATAAAATAAACATACAGGAATTAAGTTAAGTTTTACTCTAAACCATTTCTCCGTTCAATATAGAAATAGTTTTATTATTCGTCATTGAAAATCAAAAGTATGTTAATTGCGCTGTAATTTACTTTCCTTTACTACAGAAAGCTTCACAAAATTCTGTTTTCTAATTTAATTAATATAGCCTACAAATTTCTAAAAAAAAAATTAAGATTTGATTGAATTATTTTTCAACTTTGGCTTCAATGCTAATTTTTGTTGCAGCTTTGCCTTGCGTTCCATTATTCGAACGGAGGTCGCATTGTGGGTGAAGGAGCAACTCCTCTGAACGTCATTGGCGCGTTGAGTCCCATTCACGACGCCTTGCTGACCTTTGACCCTCGCATGAGTGCCGTCGTCCTTCCGCTCTCCTCTCCAGCCTACGTTTTCAGCCCTCCCAGGGTCTACATCGCTCACCCTGAAACTCTGCGCAAGTTTTCCATCCCCACATCGCCTGGAAATTCTTTCGAGCCTCGTCCGAAAGCTGCAACAACAGAAATGCCAACAACGCGAAAGAGCATTTCCGTGGCCAACCCGAATTTCGTGGTGAAAAAAGTCGTTTCCAGTCCTGCAGCTTCCGAGGCCAATTTTCCCTCTTCGCAGGGCAGAAATTTCAAGGGCAGGGCGGAAAATGGTGGCGATGGGCAAGATGCCGTCAGGCAGATCCAGGCTTACAGCAAACCAGTGACCATCCCTGCTTCTGGAAGGGCGCTTTTCTCCAAAATGAATCTTGACGGTTCCTACCATTTCGGATATGATACAGGCAAATATTTTTTTTTTTATTACTTTGATAATTAATTGAAATGATTAAAAAAAATCAGGTTCAGGTCAACACCAATCCTACAGGGAAGAAAAACGTTTTCCTGGGGGTCGTATTGAAGGGAAATACGGCTACGTTGATCCGGACGGGGTGCTCAGGGTTGTCGAGTATGTTGCAGATCAAAGAGGATACAGGTAATTTATTTGAGTCGCCACGTTTTGTCAGAAAATTGCCTTGAAATGTCAGAATATATTTTACTAGGAATAAATAAAAATTATATAATTTCTTTTTCTGACATTCGAGCAATTTTTTTGTCTAAAACTTCTCTGAAATTTTGTCCATTCACTTTTCTGACATTTTATATTCTAACAAATTGTGGAAGCCATTTATTTATTTTTGCTTTGAATAAGATCTATTTTTTTACAAGGATCTATGAAACCGTGCTAGAGAACACCAGAATTAAATTTTGTGATAAGATTCGCAATGCAAAAGTTTAAAGTGCTTTTTAATCGTTGTAAAAAATTGTTTTGATTCAAAAACCAGTTTCGGTCACACGGTCTGCGACCTTATTTCATGAGGACGAAAAATACGAAAAAATTATTAAATTTGAAAAACACTACTTTTTTAACAAAATAATTCTAAAACTTTAAATAGGTTGATACTTGAATATGTTAGTTTTAAGAATTTGAACTTATTTTCAAAATATGGTGTTTTTCAATTTTGTTGATTATTGTTTTCATTTTTCTTTTGCTCATAAAATCGGGTTCCAGATTGTGACAGATTGAAACTGGTAGAGCCGTTTAGTGTTTGAATAAAAACAATTTTTACAATTAGTGAAAAGCCCGAGTTCTTCCCTTCCCTGATCATCTCTCGTCGAGTATCAATTTCTTCGAACAAAAAATTTGAACTTTTTACTACAATTAAAATTTTCTGCTGCCAAATAATATTTATTGAATTCTTTATACTGAAGGTCTCGTTTGACGACAAGAAACGTGAATAGTGGCGGTTCCTTCCCATTCATAGGCCCGATTCCGTCTCCGCTTCTGGCAAGGGCGAGAAGTGCTGCGAACGCTGCCAGGTGATGACAACATAATATTGCACCTTCCGTGATCTCGAAATGACTTTGAATCAAATATATGCAATTTTGTCAATTTTGCTCATGATAATTTATTTGTTTTTTTTTTAATCAATAGAAATCAATTATTAAAATTAAGACTTTGATAGCTTTAACTACAAACAGAGGGAGGCGCTGAATAAAAAAAGCAGTCTTGATTGACTTCATATATCGTTGCATTTTTATTAATATATATAATTCATCAAAGACTATATTATCGAGTTATTACATTTTTCAGTTTTTCAATAGAAATTTCAATTTTTCCACGTGTTGCATAATTTACGGTTGTATCATTTCTGTGTATGTACAGAGTGTGTGTCGTTTTTATTATAAAAAGGGAAACATTTAGTTCTCTTTCACAGCGATGGCTATATTATTATTTTAACTATATCAGCGGTTTTTCTTCCTCTTTATACAACGTCTACGCTCGTAACAAACAATAATATATATTTATACGCTTATCCATCCAAATTTTCCTGCTAACAAGTTCATTCTGTACACAAGTTCGTCTCTCTAAACTTTTCTGTCTTTCCAGCATCAAAAATCACTCACGTCCTTGTTTTTTTTTTATTATATTAAGTAACAAAGTTTTACAACATCGATTTCCTTACACAAGAGAGATAGTCCACCAAAATCCAACCTATAAACACGTGATTTCCTCAGGAATTTTAATATAACCAAATTTTACTGTGACTTTTGTCGCCAAATCTGGTGGGCTGCATTTTTTGGCACAATGAACTGCACTAAACATTGAGTCGTTTACATTTGGTGTGTGTGAGTGTGTGTTACATTGATGGTTTGCGCTACTCGAACATTTAATTAAATATTTATCTCGGTCGGTGGTCCTTATTAGATGTTGGCACTACTAATTTACGTGTGTGTATTTCTCGCTGCAGTCTTTTATACACAGATCACAATTAAGAGACAGAGAGAGGAGGAGGACAAGGGCTACTATTCAGTCCCCTACAGACACTGATGGCGAGGAGGGGCCCAATTACAACCAGGGTCCCAACTCGCGCTCCACCACTCCCGCCGCGTCCATCCTGCCCATGGCCCTGAGGATGTTGAGGAACTCGGCCGAGGCGGAGGAGTCGCGGTGTCGCGCCTCCCACAAGTCAAGAATGTGCTCTGTTGGGCTCGGCTTTGTTGCAAAGAATGCAATGTACCTTAAAAAGAAAGAAAAGTCAAATATTTAGATCAAATTGAGCTTAAAAAATTGTATACTTAGAGGGGATGTGATTTTTTTCTATTTTAAATTAAAAATTTTTATATCTAGAATTATAATAAGTCTATCTTTTTTGTTTGTTTAATATTTGAAATTAATTTTATTTTAATAAATAATTTGTAATTATTTTGCCCATGGATATTAAATATTTTAATCATTTTATATTAAAAAGTAAAAAATCAAATTTAAAATAAATTTTTATAATTTGGGCATTATTTAATTATTTAACATAATTTGTTAATTTTTTATTAATATCAATACTTTTTTGTTTGTTAATTAAAACAATTTTATATAAATATATTGTTTAGCCGGGCCGTTTAAGTTGCATTACCAGAACTAGCAATAGATTGCTTTTGTTTTTACAATTGATTTAATTTGTAGAATCCTTTGATATTATTTCCCGATATAGATAATTAAATACAAATTTAAGCGAGATTACATTAAAAACAGGCAAATATTTCATTAAACGTTAAATAATTTAACTTTCTCGTTAATTTTACTTACTATACTGCTTTATATAAAAATAATTGTTATTAAATTTGGAAATATGTAGATAACTGAACATGTGCTCTGATGGCTTGGCTTTGTTACAAAGAATGCAATATTATACCTTCAAGAAATAAGTAAAAATTAAGATCATATTGAGATTATAATTTTTTATGTCTAGATTCATATCAAGTTTATCTTTACTTGTCTTTTCAATTAAAATAAGATAATTTTTATATCCTAATTAATTTCCAAAATGGAACAAATTTGACTAAAATTTTTTAGTTCAAAATAATTATTTTCTCACTTTCAATAAAAAAAAAATAAAATTTATTTAAAGTAGCGTAATTGACAAATATCAAACACCACAATTTTCAATTAACGTTTGCTTATATGGAAAGGTAGTTTGCCTTACCTATCCATGCCAAGTTTTTGAGCGAGCATTCGCCAGTCGTTGCCCCGAGCATTTGGCGGGTCGAGACACTGGCTGAGTTGTTTCCTCAGCCCTCTAGGGAACTTGAAAGCAGGTCCTGCAGGTTCCAGGGTGGTGACGAGAGAGCTGCAGCCACTACTCGAATTGACTGTTGAGACTCGCGCTCCTCTTGGTACTGCGTTCGGACTGCATGGAGTCTGCAACGACAAAAGAGAATTTTATAAAAATCAAATTTTGATTAATGATTAAATGATAAATTAAATCTGCAATTTTCTCAATTACTGAGAAAATTATTATTAAAATTAATTTAGAATTCATTACCTGAGATGATCCGTCACAGTTGACGTTGATGGCAACCTGTTGTGAGATCGTGGCGCCTGTCGTTATGTCAACCTGGCGGGCTCTGAGTGTGAATGAAACCGGCGAAGGGTCATTGTTGCTTCTCTCCAAGGTGAAGGAACAATGCAGCAAATTACTCGAAGGTCTCCAAACGTGTTGGAATGGAATTTCCTTTAAAATGAATAAACGATTTTAAACTTAAATTTCAATAAAATTTTTTATCAAAAATGTTACCTGGAAGCTGCCCTGAGGCTTGCACCGCCAACCATGTCCCAAACCTTCCAGGTCCAGACACAAAGATCCGCCCCCGTCACTGAACAGCATCGACCTCGGCCTTTGGAGCAGGCAGCCTCCCAACTGCTTTTCAATTGACATCACTCCCTGAAAGATCATTTTTATTTTATTAATAATTTTCTCACAAGAAGTACTTTTTATGCTGGTGTTTTCACGATAATTGGCACAAATTTATTATGAAAGAACCCGAATTTGATTTTCACATATATGTTGTTGGGGGTAGATAAGAGGCTGAGCTCCCTTAAAATTTCACTTGAATATTTTTGGTGCTATTTTCTGTTTTTTTTTTTAATATCTCTGCTTCTATTTAGAAATTAAGTTTGATACCTTCAGTTCTAGAAGCAACTTTTTACGCCCGAAAACTTTTTTGTAGGTCACTAAATTAAAAATTTCAATTTCTGACGCAATTTTCGCAATGATACTCAGATATTTTTCGGGGTAAAGGAAAAAATTTAGTTCCAAACCCTTAATTTTCAAAATAGGATTAGTTTTTGCTTTTGAGATATTTTCAAATGGATTTTAAAAATTAGGAAAAAATCACTGTTTCTTGATGCAAAATAGCGATTTGCAAAGCAAAATATTCAATATTTTCTGTTTTTTTTTTCACATTCTTTCGGAAATCTGAGTACTGAACATTTTCATGTGAAATTTTAAGGAGAGCATTTTCTAATGGAGCCTTACAAAAATATGTGAAAATTTTTGTGTGTGCCAATGATAAATAAATTTTCTTGCAGTTCAGATTTCAAACTTGCCTCCATTGCAGCCAAATAGTCCTCAACAGCATAAACTCTCAAGCAGCACTCCTGATGCGGCGGTTGGCTCGGCCCGAAGACGGCCAGTTTCAGCGCCTTGGCCGCCCGACCAGTGTGCGACTCGCCAGCTAAAATGTAGCGGCCAGAGTTTTCCACCATCACATGCGCCTCGCTCTCGTCAAGCTGCACAAAGACCGGCGTGTTGATTGTTTCCTCTCCCAAGGTGACCACGCGCTGAGAGGAAGAGTCAAATTAAAAAAAAAAAATATTTATATATAAAAAACAAAGCTTGATTTTCGAAAAGGGCAGGTGGATAAATGTTTCAAGTGCCTTTTGCATACCTTCCACTTGGGTGGCGAGTCTGGCGTTCCCGGACTGCACCACAGAGAGACATTCCAAGCTCCCCTTTGCGGGCGCGCGCAATGCCTGAAGCTGAGGACCGCCGGTCGCCGCATTGCTGGTGGAACAACGCACGCCACCACAGGACTCAACTGTGTCAAACCATCTGCAAATAATAAATATTTTGTAATATATAACTCTAAAAATATATAATTTAACTCCATTTAGCAGCTTCATGATTGTGCTTTTTTACAAAGTCGTTTTTGTGATGCTGCTCACATAAGTCACCACAAAATTTACATAAATAGATAATTTCTACTATCAAAATATAATGTAAATTAATTTTATCAAATAATAGGTCAATTAATTATTTTATTCCATTGATTCAAATCTCCTTTAATGTTTTTTTATTATTTATACTTTTGATACAAGAAATTTATCAATTGAAGTCTGATATTAACTACGAAAGAAATGATTAAAAAAAAATTAGATCTGTTATAATAATTAATATTGCCAGAATGAGCGTCAAACATTGAATTGCTTATTTAAAATTTCATTTCAAGATACTATTAATTTTTCATTCTTCTTTCAATTTATATTCCAAATTCCAAAATTTTTTTCAATTATTCTTTGGATTACATTGATGAAAGGAATTGGTATGATCAAAATTTATATGCATATACAAACCTATTTTTTTAATACAAAACTACATGCGAATCAGTTACATTCATATTAAAATTATTGTTAAAATGGAATAACTAAAATAAAAATTTAACAAATATTTTAATACTGCTAAATAAAAAAATATAGAATAAGTAAATAATAAACAAAAATTAATAAGATGTTAAGATTTTTTTTAAATTATTTATTATTCTAGAAATTTTGTAAATTTATAAATATTCAGCATTTGTATAATATAATTTGTTAATAAATTATGGTTTTCTTACCTGGCAATGGAACGCGCTCCCTGTCAGCCCTCATTACAGCCAAAAACGCTTTTCTCTTTTCCCCTCTGCTGACGGCTCCCTCGCCCATGGTCAGGTGAACTCCAGAGTTGGGCAGGCTGAGCCGCAGCCCCGAGTATCCGACGGTGCCCTTGGTTTTGCTCTCGGTATCCACCAACTTGATTCCGCACACAGTCTCGCCTCCACTGCAATTCAACGTCAAATTGTATAAATTCAAATTGGAAGCGACACTTCCTCGATAATTACACGCGAGGAACAACAAAAACATTTTACACACGCACCTTGACGAGTCGTTGTAGTTATTGGGGATGGCGTCGTAGCTGACGGAATCCGCCTGGGACAAGGCTGCAACAATGAGAAAGGGTTAAATTTACATTTGCACCTTCCCTGGAGATGTCATTAGAGCAGCTAACAATATGCAAATCGACTCACAAGAAGAAAACGACGAGAGACTCCCGGAGCGCTGCGGTGGCCGCGAAGATGAGGCCAAGGAGGCGGTCGACGCCGTTCCGGGGGCGGCCGGGGGCGGGTGTTTCGGGGGCGGCGCCAGCAGGGGCACGTCGTAGTGGTGCTCGCTGCAAGGGGTGCCCAGGTGGTTGGCGTCGCCGTACGGGGGGTACTCGTAGAAGACGGCCGTGGGGCCTCCGGGGGGCGGCAGAAGGGGCGGAGTGGCCGAGGTGGCTCCTTGCGTCAGGTCAGGCTGCGAGTGCAACGTGGTCGTCATCAGGTGGCCGTTCTTCTTGTCAGGGTGCGGGTAGTAATCAACTGAAGCATTATAAAAAAATGTTGTCAAAATTAATTGTAAACGAGAAAAAGTCTACATTATAAATTTAATGGAGATTTAAATCCACAGCTTCATTTTTTAACAAAAATAATGTATATTTTAATTAAATAAAATTGATTTAGTTTTTTAAGTCCTGTTGAAAACATCTGCAGCATTTTAATTTTCTAAATATTTCCTTATTTTGATACTTTTTTATTGCACTGCATGATTTTGGCTTTTTTTGTAACTACAGTATAATTTTTTGCTTGATGTAATGCTTACAAATGAATGGAGATTAAATAAATAAATATTAGTAAAAATGCAAAAAAGAAACTTAAAAGGAAACAAAAAGTTTTATTATATAATTAATATGATTAAAATGTAGTTTTATTATTTCCCTTTTGTTATTGTTTCCTGTTTACTCAAGACCAAAGGAGAATAAATTTGCACAAATTACGACGCACGCGTTAATTATGTAAGAATAACCCGTCTAAATAATACGCATTCTAATGTAAATTAATGTGACGCTCGCTCGGCGGAACGCAATTTCGTCTCATTATCTCTCAGATAGACAAACGCACGCAGGCCGAGCGCTAAATATCCCCGAATTAATATCAATTTGCAGAATTAATCTCTTTCCGCGCGAGGAAAGTTTTCTAATTTCCAGAAAGAACAGCCCTCTCTGCAGACAAGTGGAAAATTGTATTACACTCTCTGCCAACTCGGTGCATTTCTCGCACAAAATCTCCTCCGCCTCCTTTCTTATGTACGAACGAATTTCACTCGCATAGGGGATATTTTGTTGCTGATGTTGACAAAAAAGCTCAAGTCCTCTGCGAGATCTTTTTTAGCAAAGGAAGAATAAAAGAGGAGGGGCTGGCAGCAGCGGCTCTCCCCATATTCTCAGCCAGTTTGAAAGACGCATAAAGAAGGACTTAACGGGCAAGACGCTCCACTGTGTAATAATGGTCCGTTTGTTTGCGTGCGGTTTTATAATCTGAAAAGGAAATTATCGTTGCCGGCAACTAATCTCGCAGGGTCTTCGAAAGCCCAACTGCAAATTTGCGTTGAACGGTTGCCAGTTGAATGGACCCTCCCTGCTTTCTAATGACTCGAGACACGAGTGTGACTCACCGATCGACGGCTTCCATGAATTTATTTTCTACTTGGATGAAAACTAATTTGCGCCCGTGTGTTTTGGCCAAAAGATTACATGAATACTAGATGTACGCACGGCCCTCTCTGAAATTGAAAAGTTTTTATTTCCGCCGAGACGCACATGCGGAGGAGAGAAAGAAGCCAAACAATTCCTTGGTATTATCGGGAGGGCTTACAAAAGGCATGCATTATACAGCAGAAGAGCTAGGATAAGCACCCAGGCTGTCATATCAGCAGTAGCGAGAGGGAATTCGCAGTCGTCAGGTGCAGCTGCCAAGGAGCAACAACCGCGCCCGGCTGTCGTTCCAATGCGAAGGTGAAAGATCGAAACCTCTTAAAACGTATTCCATTAGAGCATCTTCCACTTTTTCGTGCCAACAATCGAAAGATGGATTGTGTCATTGGAAAGAAGTATGCAACATGCAAGGCTGGAGTGTGTGGCGGAATGCCTAGCGTGTGAAAACGAGATAATGCACGAAGCGAGTTTTACATTTAGCAGCTGTGAAAATAATTCCCTTCTTCGCCTTTTTTGCTTTTATCGAGAGAAAATTCTAGAATTTGAATAAATTCAACGCACGTTCTAAAAAGAAATAAATTTGTTTTTTCCACAGCTGAAATATACTAAATTGGGAAAACTACCATTTGTTTTTGTTAAAATGGAGTGGAAAAAGTTCAAAAATAATATAATTATTTTGTTGGAGTAAATTTTTGAGTATGCCAAGCCGCAGAAAATGAGATGCTACAAAAGTTGACTTCACATTTGCAAAATATGGAAATAGTTTGCCACACGCTATTTCCTGCGAGTCCTCTTTTGACAAGTTACGACTCAAGAGAGGCAAGCAACATTTCGTGAAAGTTTACAACTCGGCTACTTTTTAATCAAGGAAGGTGGGAATTTGAAATTCAAGAAGTTTGGCGACGATTCCGCATTCAGCGTGCAAAAATACAAACATAGGGAAAAATACAAATGGAAATAGTTAATGTACAAAAAATAATGAACAAATTAGAAACTTGAATTTAGAAAGAGTGACTTTAACACTAACTAATGCTGCTTATAAGAAATTTCGTATTTCTTTAATTTTCGTACAATTGTATGAATAAATAATTTATGTCTGTATTCCGATGGTATTTAATAAAATAATTATTTATTTACTTACATTAAGATGAATTATTTTTAGGATACAGACTGTTATAAATTTTTTTTATTAGTTATTGTTTTTTTTAACTAATTTTTATGCAGTGATGAGTTCGATTTCCTCCAAATTAAAAATTTTAAAGCTAATTTATTTGAAAGTCAGCTGAGATGTGGAGTTCACCTGCTCTGTGCATTTTGAATCACTCTGGTTGTTGTTCGGCGGTGCGAAATTTGACAAGTGAGTCTCTGCGGCGTTTAGGCGGGCGCCGCGCGTCTCATGCATAATGCAATGGCGCGGGCAGATGTCACACCTTCGCCGGATGTTGGCTGACTCAATTTGCACCCAAATATATTTACACCCCCAGCACGGAGAGGGGCGAGAAGAGGCCAGAAAAAAACACAACAAAAACAACGCACACGTGCTGACGAGTCATTTGAATTGCCAAAGTGAAATAAATTGAAATCCGGGACGGTGCGGTTGGCGGAGGAGAACTTTTTTTTGTTCACTGCCCGGGCAAAACTCGAGTAGGGCTTTTATTACGCAGAGAGCACTTTTTTGCAGCATCATAAAGAGCGGCCGCCCGAGCTTCTTTTAACTGTTTTACGGCGTATTCAAGAAAGCAGCAGCGCAGTTTTCCTTCCTTTCCTCCGGAATATATAAAAGAGCGGAAAGAAAGCGAACGAGTTCAGCCGTAGTCTGCGTCGGAAGGAATAAATAAATAAATCTTGAGGAAGATGCGTGCCGGTGCCTGCTGCGTGTAATAATATTTGACTCTTTATGTCTGCCAACATCTTGTGCGCGTGGAATTTGCAAAAAAAAAGTAGACAAGGAACGGCATTGAGCTTGCTTTGTGGAAATTCAAATCGCGTGCTGCAGGCAAATCCTGGTCTTTCCCACCTACCTTGTTCAGTCGCAAGGTTTCAGTTGTAGAAAAACAACAAAAGGGACAAAATAGTTCGGATTCTACTGAAAAATTGTGAAAAATTGTTCTTAATTCGAGTCAAGTATTCGCAGTTGAAAAAAAAAATAGGATCAGTTTAATGCATTTAATTGATTTTACCTGCCGCTATAATTTTTGGTTTCTCCAAGAGAAAAATATCTAAATGATGCATTAACAAACTAACATTATAAAAATTCACTAAATATACCATTAAAAAGCTGATTTCTTGAGAAACTTGAGAAAAAACTATTTGAAAATTGCAAACCGTTGCGTCTCAATCAAAAGAAAACCTAAATACGATTGATTCGTGCGAAAAACGTGTGAGAATTGAGTAGCCAATCAGATCCATCAGTTTGTTCCTAAAACTACAGAATTTGGTCACATTGGCGCTGCGATCGCTGATTTTGCCACAAATGCCCCACGGCGCTGCAGAAAACTTGGCAAAATCAGCGATCGCAGCGCCAATGTGACCAAATTCTGTAGTTTTTGGAACAAACTGATGGATCTGATTGGTTACTCAATTCTCACACGTTTTTCGCGCGAATCACTCGTATTTTGGTTTTCTTTTGATTGAGACGCAACGGTTTGGACTTTTCACATCGTGTTTTCACAAGATATACTCAAAATTTAGCAATTTTTCAGAATAAAGAGCAAAACAAATGACTGGAGTGGGTCTTTAACAAAATTTAATATATGCTATAAAAATTATAAAAAAAGTAATCTGCTTTCTTTACTGGCCTTTATCGTTTTGTCGTTTTATCGTCCAAATCTGGCGCTGCCAAAACAGCACCAAACTATTTTGAGGGCGTTCGCCTGCAGCTCACACGCTGGTGGCAGATTTTGTGATTGTCATAATGATGATGCTGCGCCGCTGCTCACGAGTGCAAGCAGGGGAGCGTAGAGAGATTTAGCCACTTTATAAGAAAAGTATCGCCAAACATAAAGGCGCCGGGAGAGAAAAGAAGTAAGTTTGCCCATCAAAGTTTCCGGGGCTTAAGAGTTTTAGCTGCTCTGGCTGCCAACGACGTGGCTGCTGCTGGCGCGAAAGAAGCAGAGGCGGTGCGGCGTGTAACAACAGCAAAGAAAAGGTGGCGACAGCTTTTGCCGGCTCTATCGATTGATATTTTATTATTGCAACTGGAAGAGGAAAAAAATACAAAGCCTGGAAAAACTTCTTTTCTCCCGCTAACGGCCGCGTGCGTGTCTGCATTTGACATCGGGACTTACGCAAAAAATAATTGCTTCGGCGGCGAGACGTGATTTAAGAGTGGGCCGGACAAAACGCCTCTCCGGCACCTGCACTTGTATTATATTTTTTTTCTGTCATGAGAGAGCGACGGAAATTGGAAAATGTCCAGCAATCGCGGGGAATTGCGGTAAAGAGAGAAGAGCGCTTTATGGAGTGGAAGAAATAGTGATTCTGCTGCGAATGAAATTTCCACCGCAGAGTGAGTCGTTTGAGTAACAAAATGAATGGTGGCCGTGTGAGTTGGTATGGAAAGATATTTCAATTTGGCTCCATTTGCGAGAAACAAACGAATTCATCATTGCATATTAGTAATCAATAAAATCAATACTTGTATAAATTTATTTCTGAAATAAAAGTGTCATTTAGGTACAAATAATCAAAATATTGAAATTTGAGAGAAATTATAGGTTAGGCTTGGACGCCTTTTTTGCGTGATTTTATTGGAAAAAAACCCATCAAATACAAGGAAATCTAAATCAAAATTATATATTTTAATAACTTTTTAGGTGAAATTGGTGTAAATAGGCTTTTTTTATCTGAACTGCCCCCCTCAAAATAGGTAATTTCAAGTAAAAATGGTTAGTTATTTACTTAAATTAAATTAATTTCTGAATATTTGGATGACGTATCTCGTTATACAAAATAAACTTCATTTGAAACTAAATTAAGTGTAAATTACGATTTAACGGATGATTTTTCATCAAAATATTCACTTTTTTGGCGATTTTAATTGTGCATTTGAAATTTTCACTAATATATGTCGTCTTTTTTTTAAATTACATTTTGTTTCATTAAAAAAAAGTAAGAAAATCATCCTATTTTTTCCCATCTGTATTTTTGGCTCATTATTACAATTTTTTATGTTGAATTTGCAAAAATGTTCTCCGCATCTGATTAATACAGTTTGAAAAGTTTTGTTACTGCTGAAGTTTGACTTCATAAAAAATAAACAACTTGGCCTCGGCTGAATAATTTAAACAACGTTCCTCTCTGCATTCAGGGCACGCGTCACTCGATAGCAGCGGCGGCGGAACTGCAGAAAATGGTGCGCCATTTCTCTCTTGTCGCGCGCGCCCTATTATCATTATTCGGCCGTAAAGGGCGGGATCGGTGCGATCGGAAAGCGATCAGACGGCCAGATTGCCGATCGAAAGATCTCCGAGATTGGTCCGATATGGAAATCACGTCCGTGACCCGATACCAAGTGACCCGGAACGGCTCAGGGGATTAGAAAAAGGACGAGTGGATGAAAGAATTCTCGCGTGATCCGAAAACCGTGAAGCGCAGCAAAGAGGGAGGAAGGTGCATTATATGCGGTGTGTGCTGAGCTTCCTGCTCTTCTTGAAATATGCGTGCGAAGCGTGAATAAACCTTATAACGCTGCACCTTGGCTCTCGAGGAGCGGCTCATATATAACTGCCGGCCGCAGTGCCGCCGCTTATCCTTCAACTCCTTCTTCTTCTTCTAATGAGATTTATGCGGTGTTATACACGTGTACGCGCGCGAGGGTGGATGCGCCGCCGCCGCCGCGCACCAAATCAGCTTGCTTTTTGCGGAGCTGGGGCGGCTAATATTGCGGTCTTGGGGGATTTAAATGGCGAACCCTCACCGGAGATTAATTTAAAGCAGCAAAGCCGAATAGGGCCTCTTTGCTCGACGATTATAATGTAGTGCGCGCACACAAGCACGCCAAGTTTTCTGTTTGACTTTGCACCAAATTAATATTCGCCTGCACCTGCCAGAGCTGCGGTTTCCAACATAAATCAAGAAGTTATTTAAGATTCTGAATATTTAATAAAAAAAAAAAATAAATAAATGGAAGTCACTGTATGTAATCGTATAATGAATTATATCAAGAATTAACTTATGCGTGATTTTTTTTAAACAGATTTGATCGGATAAGATTAGAATTGAAAAAATACTTGCATTTAAAATTTAAAAATATAAAATAATTATTGAAGTAATATTTATAAAGTATTTATGCTATGATATGTATTTATTTATTTAAACTAATTTGCAAATAATGCTTTATTTAGTTTAATTAAATTTTCTAATCGTTTTATTTAATATGAAATTATTACGTATTAATTTTGAAATTTCTGCAAATCTAAAGGTTTTGGTTGGTGTGAAATATAATTTTTTATATTATTCCAGCTTCATGTCTCACATCATCATAAATTACAATTTAATTTAGAGGAATCACTATTTTGGTGTCTAGATCTAATTTAATGATATTAATATATATTTGGGGAAAAATGAAGATTTCGTAACTAATTAAAATGAGCTTAATTTAAATTTACTTAAAATAAATTTCTGTCCCAATTAACTTTATACTGGATTGTGGATGAATTTAAAACTATCAACGGTTTTGCTTAAAGTTTCCTTTTGACTTCTGACGCCAATTAATTTAAGTGTGCAAAATTGAGCGAGAAACACTTACCTGAGACGGCCATGTCGTAGAGGCTGTGCCTTCTGCCCTTGCGCCTCAGAACTTTGACGGCGACGCAGGCGAGCACTCCGAAGACAATTAGGGCGACGCTCAGCCCGATGTAGAGAGTCACATCTGTCTGCACGGCGGCCCGGGTAGCTGCAACATCAAGCCAATTTTATTAGAAGCGATAAAAAGTTGCTCCGTAAAAGAAAAAATACACAAAGCGTTGATTAAGAAATGTTGCCGAAAAGTTGTTACGCGTTTCAAGAGCGGACTGGAGGCAATTACGAGAGCAAGAACTTTTCGTGCAAATTATTCGCCTCGTTTGTGAAACGCGAATTTCAAATGATCGAAAGCAGGCGCGCGAGTGGCGTGATTAAAAACACCCCTGCACGAGTTTAATTCCACGGAAGTATCGTGCGAGTGTGTGCAGCCGGAATTGTTTCTGCCGGCGGCGGGTCTGAGGTAATTACGCCGACGTGCACTACTCACCTAGGAAAAAGGAGTTTTTCAAAGAGAGAAATTGATCGTGCGGCGTTGCATAATTCATGGGCGGCGGGAGAGAGAGGCAGAAAATAGTCTCTCTCTTTTTCTACCTTGGCGTGTGTCCATGTTTTATTCATCGAGCGGCTGCCTTAATTGGCCGAGAGGGCAAATAAAGCGCCGGGACGAAGACGACCTTTTAAAAGTTTGAACAGCCATTATTGAATTAGCCGCCGTCGCGAAATAATTCAGCCAGATTTACTCGCCCAACAAGTTGCGCCAGATAAATCAAAATGTTGGGCCTATTTCGATTTTGCAGCAGATAAACTCCTTGGAGAGAGAGAAAGTAAGGCCACCTGCCGCCCCTTTCCAGATTAATTTTGCACCTGACGTTTGTTTCCACGCGATCGATATTTCCCGCCTTGACTGTGAAATATATATGAAATATTTAGACCTTTGACGGAGTCTCTCGAAAAATATATTATATTTTTATCCGTCAAACAGAGACGTGCAATATTAAAAAAGTTTTCGGCGGAGGTGCAAATTAAAAATTTAATATCGCGCGACGGATTCACGTACGTCAGCACCAACCACTCCATCACCAAGTGTGTACTCAACAGGTTGACACGGAAAGGAGTGCAGCTTCGGACCGGGAAATTCCGTGTCGTGTGGCCCGCGTGGCGTGCCGCACGCTCAAATAACAAACTGCCCGTCTGCTTTTCCAGAATGTGTATTTATTTTTAAACAAAGAAAGGAGTTTCCTTCTACAAGTGGAAACGCTTTTAATTGGGCTTCTTAATTATTGACTAGGTTTAGCGTGGTGTAATTTTCAGGCTGTGCATTTTAAATGTGGGCGACGCACGCCATTTCAATTCATTGAATTTTAATGGAGGCCTCGATCGTTTAGATAAGATATCGGCCGATTCAGCCGAAATGCGCTTATTTGCGTCCGTGAAATTTCCAAGTAGTGGTTTTACGATTCTGTCGCGGTGTTTTTTTCAGAACTGACAGTTCCATTTCATAATCGATTACGTAACGAAAACGTGACAGCAGAAATGCAATATTGAGATTATATATTTTCAAATGCAGACGGCGGAAAACGGCACGATTCGCTTTTCCTTTGTTGGAGAATTGATTCTGTAATAACATCGTAATATCGCCAGCAGCGGAAAAATGTCAGCAGCCAGGAATATTTTCATTTGCAAAGTGTTGCAGCTACACTCCCTGGTCAAATTAACTCGCTGCTTGTATAATTTTGTAATGCAAACACGAGACTGCTAATAATCACGTTACGAAATCACCATAACTGCGCAAGCAATTTCAGCGGCGCGCGCGTTAATTAAAGCAGGAATATTCATGGTGCCGCATTCGAGATTTGAGCAAAAAATTTACTTTTTTCTTGTTAATTTATATAATTGCTAGTTTATTTGTTTTATAATTTTTTATTATATTGCTTTATCTTATTTCTTATTTAAATTAAATAACTAAATTAAAAAATTAAATTTTGTTTATATTTTTTTTTCTAAGCAATGATATAAATAATAATAATTATGTTTCAAGCTATAATTATATAATTTTTTCGACGGTACATAAGTTTTATTAAGTCTGATAACTATTATTATTATATTTCTTCCTTGACCCTGGTGTTTGTAAATTTCTTGATTGATGCATTATTTCTATTATAAATTACAATTGTGATTCGCAAGATGTCATTAAAATATTGAATAAATTGGCACATCTGAAGTTTAAGTAATAATTAAGCTAAATAGACCACGTGTTCTCTCTCTCTTTTAGAAGCCATTGCTCTCTTCCACAGAAGTCGGAAAGTTTATGCCGAGCAATATTGCCGCAGATAATTTTATACGGAGGAGCGAGCGAGAACGTTCTTCGCACTCAAATAACAATTCTGGCCGCAGTTCTCTCCTCTTAAGCACCCGTTTAACAACCTGCGATGCCGTGATCGCTGAATTTAGAGACGGGAGAGAACTCACAGCTCGGCCTCGGAAAGATCGAACCACAAATTTAAGTTCCAGAGTGGGAAAATAGCAATTCAAGAATGGATTTGATCCAGAAAATAATTATGTTTTTATATCGTCGGCCTTTTATTTTATAAATTGTTTTTTTTTCTCTTTTCGTAACAAAATATCTTATTAGTGGGTTTTTTTTTCCACCACTCGGTTTCAATTTCCGGCGAGCATACTTTGGGCCCCGCAGGGTCAAAGTGGATGAATAAGCCGCGGCAAGAGAGGAAGAAATAAAAAGGAGGGCATTAAATAATGGATTTGCGAGCTCCGTATATCACACATTTCGCGGGTCGCCTTTCTGAGGTTTTCACTCTCTCTCTCTCAGCAGCTATTCAAACTATTTTTATGGCCTCGCGGCGACCGCTTTTTTCTCTTTATTTTCTTTATCGTCCTCCTGCTGCCTCGCTCGAGCTATGCAACGCGCTCCGCTGCCTCGTCGGGCCGGTTGCATAAGTCGTAAAAGTGCAGGCGCTCCCGCGGCACATTATTTTTTGCCCCTTAATTAAAATTCGCGTTCTAGCGCGGCGTGAAAATTTACGACGCGAAATGAGGAGGCGGCGAAAGAAAAACGAGCGTCGAACACGAAACGCGGTCGCAGCTGCGCTCGGCTATTTGGTCCACGACTTTTTGCCACGGGTTTCGCGTTTCACAATCACTCTGCAGGGGCAACTTTTATTGTTTACTTTTTTACCGAAAAGACTGTTGAACGTGGGGAATTTCAGTTTTTCCTACTCTTAATTGGCACGATTAAATTATCGGACGCTAGGGATGATATATTTTTATAAAAAAAAAAAAAAAAAAAATATAAATTCTATTTATTTGTTTATTTCAATGGACTATATGTTCTTAGAAAACTAGTTTTAATATAATCATTTTCATTATGTTAAAAAAAAAGATTTAGTTGACATTGAACTTTGACTTCTGGTTTGCTTATTTTATATTTACAGTGAAATTACCATTGTTTTCGTTTAATAAAAACCGTTTTCACAAAATGAAATGTTAATTTGAATAATAACTTTGTTTTTCCAGAGATAAAGAGAATAAAATTGGCAACCTTGTTGGTGCGATAAAAATTTCACGCTTTTTATTGCCACTTCTCAAAATTGCCGGCGGGCAAAATTCTGCAAGGAGCGGAAGCCATAAAGTGGAGAGACCCATTTGGATAATGCTCAAGTAGCAAATCCAAAAAAAGTTTTGATTGCCGGCGCGGCTTTTTGCAGACACCAGGCGAGCACTCGCATATTGTTTCTGAGACGCCCGCGGGGAGCCATAACTCGTGGTGCGTTTGGCAAGTGGAGGATCCGAGGATACATGCACGGCAGCCGAGACGACAACAAGAGAGAAATAATATACATTATTTTATGAAAGGACGGGAGCTGCTCGGGAATTGGGGCAATGAATCACTACGCGCGCATTCTCAACCCTTTCGCCCGGCCGAAAACAAGCTCTAGAGAGGAAGAAACAACAACAGATAAAAATAACAGCGCCGCCTTAGCGGCTGTAAACATTCAACGGAGAAAAGTTACCAACGGATATATTTTTATCGCAGAGACGCACACTTCTTTTTTATTGTTTTGCCATTCCATTTAATTAGTGGCCCGAGAAATAAATCTCGTCGTGCAAAAAACCAAGAGAGAAAAACAAGCAATGAATATTATTTCATTCGCTAGACGTTAATTTGGCGCGGATAGAATCGCGCCAGACTCGAGACTTCTTCCGGCCGACTTCACATCGATTTCAATCAAATTAGGCAAACATGCATATGCGGGACGAGTTTGCAGAACTCCACTTCACGCCGAGTGATCATTTCGCGTTCAGTCGGGCGTGGCTGTTGGAAGAAGTTTCCGAATAGATCCGCACAAAGAGAGCGAGTTTCGACTTGGCGACTAAGTGAATGATTATTGTGCGAGACAAAAGACTCAGCGGCGACAAAGGCGGCGCCGCTTCAAGAGGGCTTCATCAAATTTTCTTAGTTAATTAGTTTTGCTGCCGGGCGGGAATTTTTCTTTCCACCCAAAAGCGGAGAGTTTTGTGACCCGTGAAAGGCAGTCGGCGGAGAAAGGACGCGCCGCGCGTTTTCATATTTTACATGCTGCATTTTGCCGGCTGCTCCGTCGGGATTAAATAATGAAGGGACCTTATGACAGGTCTCCCCTGAGACGACGCTACTTGTCGGGGGAGTGCAGCGCACTTTTATATTCTGACGAGGCAAGCAGTCGTCAGCACCATGTTTTTTTCGGCTGCGTGACGATGGGGGCCGAGAATCTCCCTCTCAAGATGTATGATTTTTGTCACTCTTACTCTTCTACGATTCAGTGAATTCGAGGAGAGGGGCCATTGCGAAGACAGTCAACGCGGCCCATCCATTGATTTACATAAGAAATAAATAAATAAAGTTTATATCGTGAAGTAATGCATGAAATCACGTATTCAAAATTAAACATAAATTGAATTAAATTTTAAATTTTTATGTTATTTTATGTGTTTTTCAATTTTGCTGATTTTTTTTATTCTTCTTGCTCATCGCAGACCGTGACCGAAGCTGGTAGAGCCATTTGTTTTTGAATAAAAAAACAATTTATCTGCAACAAGGAAAAGCTCAATCTCTTCATTTCCATGAATTTAAAAGGACTGGTCTGGAAAAACAAAAGCTAAATTGCGAGGCCAAAATTAAAGACGAAAATAAAGCCTGATTTATTAATTATAATTTTAGCTGCAGTTTTTTCCCAGAAGTAAGAGAAAAAAAGCGGTAGTCGGAAGTATCAGGCAGTCATTTAAATACAAGATTTCAGCACCCAGAAAAAAATCCAAACAACTTGAATGATGTTATTTTTCCTTTTTTTTTTGTAATTGTTAAATTTGTTTGTAAAATTCGCATCTTTTCTCTCAATTATATTGAATTTGTATAATTTTGAATGCATAAATTGATGAATCCCGTTATGGGCAGCAATTGCCATTGTGATATAGATCAATAAACACAATTTGCAACTAAAGATATGAAGTAAGAAGGCAATAAAGAATTTAAAAAAAAAATCGATTAATAGATTAATTTGGAAAAGAGCAAGTTTTATTAATACAGTTCATACAAATTACAATTTTTTTTTCATTCTTTTTGCCATTTAAAAACTTCGTATTTTTCACACCATTTATTAATTGTTTGAGGATGAATTAAAATTGTTTAAATAAGAATTTTGTGCAAACTTCATTTTTTTTCTTATCTATTCATTCAGACTAATATCGGAGTTTTTCCCTCCCATTTCACATTTTAATTAGTTTGGAAAATCAATTTTATTATTTATTTAGTGTGGTATCTTAAAATGAACAAAGCACATTAATAATCTTAATTTAAAATTAAAGGGAGCTAATTTGAACAAAAAAATAATTAATAAAATTAATATAAGTGAGAAAAATTCATCGTATAACTTTTATTCTAGCCAGTTGCGCCTCGCTTTTCACAACAACCCGCTTTCGTATTGTTCTCTGGACACTCAGCCCCTATCATAAGCATTTGTCGTCGTTGTGTCGCTGGCGAATGTATAAATTGCACAGTGTAATATATACGTGTCCTTGCCGCCTCGTCACGGTCCGACTAAATGCCCGGTTCGCTCGCCAGCACTTCGCACCCCCGACCGTCTCGAGGACGATGATTAAATCAGCAGACAAACAATGACACCACGTCAGAGCGGCGAGACAATGGCCGCAAACAAACACTTCTTGCTCGAAACTATCTTGTGCTTATCAATTATACCGCAGATAAGACACGGCTGCATAAAGGATCGATGCATTCACGGCGGCGGCTAATTTGATTAACTTTCGCACGTTCAGTGTATTGAATTACAGCAGACGGGGCTCGTAATTGAATGCATGGCATAGCGAACGAGCGCATAATTCACAAGGAGCGACGCCACACGTGTGCTCATAACTCGCGCAGGAGGTAATCCTGCCATTACGCTGGAAAAATTACTGCTCGGCAAAGCAAGGAGTTTGTTTTCCTATTCGCTACTTTGTAATGGCGCGGAATTAACAACAGCGAGCGCTCGTTAAGTTTTACGACTCGCTGGCTGCCGCCGCCGGGATTTGACCTTTCTCTCTCGTGTTCACCCCGTTGTTGTGCCACACGAGGAAGAGCGAAAAACAGCCTTCGTGAACGATATTTTCACCCGACCAGCACACAACCGGCCATAAAAAGTCGAGTGTCTTGCCTTTTAATTACGTCTTTATCTCGCCTGATTAATGTACTAATTAATGGGAGAATTTAGCACCGATGCGCATTTCTTGCACTAGAACCTTTTTCAACATAAACTAAATAAATGACTAAATAATAAAAAAAAATTAGTATTAAAATATCCAATATTTTCATTCATTTTCTTGGATAAAAATGACCCTAGAGTAGATGATCGTGCAAATGAAGCGATCATTTATCATTTAATTTTTTGATTTTTTTAAATTAAATATTGTTTATATTAAAAAAAATTCATGTAACACAATAATCGTGTAAATTTGTTCGTAAATATCCGCACTATTTTCAAAAAACAAGTGAAGTTCATAATTATCAGACACGGGCAAAAAAGGATTTGTATGTTCCCGCTCAGACTTTGTTAATTTCTAAGCAGAACCCTTTGACTTGTTTAGCTGCTTTGTATAACAAATTGCCTGTTTCGATTCGCTTAGAGCCTCGATACAAGATTTTTGAAAGTAGTTTGAGGCGATTTGTTCATTCACATAAATTTTTTAGCAAAGAAGAGTTTTTCAACTAATAATTGATACATTGTAATATTTTTGTTGTTTTTTACTCTCTTTTTTCTACTTGTTTTGTACTATGTTGCAAATGGGGCGCGTCGCAATGAGTAATTACATCGTGGTGACGCCTCATACGTCAATAAAGATCAATAATAATAATAATTTTATTTAATAATCAGAAAATATGAAGTAAAAATTATAGTTCCTTGTCTCACGCTTATTCCCAATAATAATTTGAAATCTAAAAACTGACTCAATTTTATTGTTACATATTTTTGCATTTGCCTTTTTTTAAACATTATCAATTCAATTGATTTTGCAACATTAGATAAGTAAATAATGTGCAAGGGGAAAACTGTAATTTCCACTCAACCGAAATTAAATAGTGATAATAAAGTATTGGTAGCCAGAATTCAGAATGTCAGGAGTAGAAGAAGTCAGATTACTTTTTCAGTTAAAAGTAATCAATATTGAAGTTAATATATGTACAATTATTACTAGTTAAATTTTTTGATATCAAGTTATTATTGAAAATTTAGGTTATTACAAAAGTTATTCTATCAAATCAAATTTACACTTTATTGTTAAAATTAATTATTAAAGAAATTCATTAAAATGTAAATTTGTATTTTTTAAGAAATGCAATAAATATTTATATTATAAAAAACAAATTAAATATTATTTTTATTTTAATACTCTAGACATATTTGGAACTAAATTAAATTTCAATTCTAATGCTAATGTCCAAAAACAGCGGTTACCCAGCAAATTTCCAAGCACACGTGTGCCCAAACGCCGCCAATTTCGCACCTACACACTTAACAAAGCAGCAGGAAATTGAAACTCGGCGCTGCCTGTGCCGTTGGCGAACGGTTTGTTCTCCGTGTTCGCAAAGTTCGTTACTGGCGAGAGCGAAAAGTTGCGCGTGACAGGGCGGGGTGAGAAATGGAGCTGCCCGGCGTTATTGTTTGATATGAAAACGCGAAATGGAACAATGGAATGGACGGTGGGCAGCTCGGTCGGTGTCAAGATTTCGTCCGTCGCCCTTGTAAATGGACCGCAGTGTAAGTGACAGGTGCACCGCAGATGAATGACCCATTACGCCTGGCCGTTGTCAGAATTCGTCGTCGGTGCTCTTTGTTTATCGCTCACGCGCCACGGGGGCGACAAATGGAACGAAAGAGAGAGGCTGTGCTGTGTGCGCGGGAATCCACTTAGGCGCAAAAGATTTCATTTGGCCCGTCGTAAATAAAGAGAGCCGCCGATTTGCTCGGCTTATGAAGCCCTCGAGTGGAAAAAGAAGAGAAGAGAATTCTTCTCTCGCTTTGTGCGGAAATTCTTTTCTTATAGATGGATGGGGGTTGCAGAATTTAGACGGAAATTGGGACACGAGGGAGACGCGGATTCTTTTGTTCTTGATGAAATTTGCTATTGATTTCTAATTTGATGAATCAGTCAGGTGGAAAACACAGGAAATTAATTCTGAGCCAGTTCGATGCACATAATATTGCAAATTTGGATTTCAGAAATTTAATTAGGCTTCGTAAAGTGGAAAAATCTGCATGTTAAATTTATCAAAAGTTACAAAAATTTGATTCTCCTGCAGGAATATTGAAAAATAAAAGAAAATTTAGATAAATAAATAACATAAATATTAGTTAAAATTTAAAATTTTGTGGTAGAATTTCCCGATCAAGGGTTGATTCATAGTGATTTAAATTTAAAATCGACTTTTCCTCGATGGGTTTTGTGATTTGTTTATTTTTTAAGAAAAGGTTAACTATTTTTCCTTAAAAAATAAACTTACTATTGAGGAAAAGCCGATTTTAAATTCAAATCTCCATAAATTCATCAAAAATCAATCCAATATTCTGATTCCCCCTTAAAATGGTCACCTCAGCTTTAATCAAAGCCTGCCAATCACAATGTGATCTATTTTCAGCCACCCACGTTCGCCGACATGATGCTGGTGCGCGATCAAAGCAGCCAACAACAAACTTTTATTCTCTGTTGAGCGCCACCAAGCAAGAGCTAATTGCAAAAGTTAGTTAGTTTGTCCTCAATACGGCTGGGACACAAATTCCGCGCGGATTTTCTTCTAAAAGAGTCGCACACAATCGTTTCGTACAGTCGGTTTCTGAGTGCAAAGAGGCTGCAATAAAGCGATTCCGGCGCCGCCAGAAGATTCAGCCAGTCGAGTGCTGTGAAATGGAATAAGAAGCAGAGAGAGAAAAAGCAGCCGGGGCGTTTTCAATAAGGCTTTCTGCACGTCCGGTCAGGGCTATCAGGCCTTTTGGTGCTAGAAGAGCGGCGTTTTGTTATTAAGGACGTCGCTCTCATTGAAGGACGACGCACGGCCTTTGAGCCGTTTGTTAGCGTAATGCAATTTTCGAGCGAGGCAAAGACGCGAGCGTGAAATTAGAATATTTGTATTCACGGCGCCGGCTGCAATATCAAAAGGAATTTCGGAATTGGCGCCTCTCTCTCGCAGTTAATCAAATAGAATCTCTAATTCTCGCATTACTCCCGTCGACGCACAACGTAAACGCGGGGAATGTCAAATTAAATCAGAGACAACAAAAAGCGCCTACCTTCTTCCGCGAGTCTGGCGCCGTCGAAACCCGAGTGCAGGTCTTCCTTGCCGACTGGAACACAATTAATGCCGATTTAATTAGTCTGGAATGTCGCCTCTCTTAATTAGATGCAAGATTTCGTCGACAACAAAGAGCTATATTCGTACCTGTGCAGAGGTCTCCGGTGCAGTTGGCCGACATCATGTCCTTGCCGGAGCAGAAACGGCCGCCTGGAGAGGGCGCGGGGCTGTTGCACGACCGTTTCCTGTGGTGTTTGCAATCGGGACCGCAAGCACTCCACGGGGACCAGACGGACCACCGGCCATCAGTCGCTAAACAGCAATTAATCACGGTCAAAAAAACGATTGTCAGAATAAAAACAATACAAGTGATTGACATTATTTGGCTGGTATCTGCTGCGATTTTAAATAAACTTGAGTATTCGAGGAGTTTCAGTTTTTTATTTTTGAAAAATATTAATTTCCAATGTTGGAAAAATCATGAATATTTAATCTGAAGTAAAAATAGTAAAATATGTTGGGAAATTTGTTAAAAATGCACAAATCTTGTGGTTAAATCGAAAATTGATCTGATTAAGAAATTAATAAATTTGATAGGAAATTTGAATTAAATTAATTGATTGCATTGCATCTGCATAATCTTAGCTCCTGTGATATTTATTTGGGAATTTTTAAAGTAATTGATAAGGATCATCAAAATTTATAGAGCGAATATCTTAAGTAAATTTGTTTTGTGAAACTAAATCTTGATGAACTGTGAAACTCTAATTCTTTATTTATGAATCGGGCTTTTTCCTCGTTGCAGAAATTGTTTTTTATTCAAAAAACAAATTGGCTCTACCAGTTTCGGTCACGGTCTACGACCCTATTTCATGAGCAAGAAAATTACAAAAAATTAGCAAAATTGTAAAACAATTTTTTCAGACCGTGACCGAAACTGGTAGAGCCAATTTGTTTTTTGAATAAAAAACAATTTCTGCAACGAGGAAAAAGCCCAATTCATTCAATTCCATGATCATCTCCTCGAGTGTCAACTTCTTCAAACAAACTCTTTAAAAACGTTCAAATCTTTAATAAATCTGATTTTTAAACTGCCTTCTGAAAAATTCTTTAAAGCGATTTTTCATCTTCATTGTGATGCACGAAAATATCGTCCTTTATAAGAAAGATTATTAAATAATTGAAACATTTACGAGCTCATTTTATAGCTCCGTAGACCTTGCATCCTTGGCATACCCTTTACTTTGAGGCATATCAAGCTAGACAAAGAAAATTCGCCGTGAGCCGCACTGCATTGCGACACACACGGGCAACAACACAGCGTCTACACTACAAAGTTGAGCGGTCTATAAAATTGCTAAGCCGCGTGTGTCTCTCTCTCTCTCGTTAAAATAAAAGTCCCGAGATCGAGTTGGTTCTGGCACGGGAGTTAGTAGTAATGTTAATCAGCAGATATAGAGAGCAAAAGCAGCGCCGGAGAGAAAGATATAGCTCGGGTCGGATCGAGGTACTTACACGAAGAACCACTGTTGTCCTCGAACAGAGCTCCTCCTAAAAGCGGCAGCGACAGCGTGCGAGAGGTTAACATTTTAGTCAAAAAGCAATTTGGTTAATTATTCGGTTAATTCAGCGGAGGGAAAAAGAGGGAAATCAAGGATGCGAGAAGCGTATACGTTTTTGGGAGAGAAAAAACAGAGCAGAAATTATAATAAAAGTGAGAGCAAAGGAAGCGAGGAAAAATCCAATTATTCGTCTCTCGCACGGTTTTCGCTCTCGAGTTTCACGAAACTCGAGTTGGAAATCCAGCGCGCTGAGAACCTGGCAGCTGAGAATTCGGCGGCGGTAACTTTACCCGACCGCAGTATTAAAAACCCTCTTTCCTTAAGCATGCGAAAACGAAAAAGCGGCGCAGCCTGAATGAGGCTAAGAATAAGTGAGAAGAAAAAGAAGTGCACCAACCTTTGTGGTTCACACACAGGGAAAATATGGAGTAGGGGGTGTGAAGTGGGTGTGCGAGCAGAAAAATCCCAAAGATGGATAAAAAAAAAGAGAAAAGTGAAAAGTGTGCGTGTGCAGCGCCGGCTCACACGCTCAACTTTTTATTCGTGTCAGCCAGCGTGAAAAATGAACGCGGGAAAAAACTTGGAGGGTGCCACATTCCGACAGTTTGGACACGAGATTTTATCACAGGGTGCGTCCCTAGCGGGTTGAAGAGAGTTGGAATTGAAATTTAATAATTAAATTACCATTTCAGAAAAAAAACTTTTAAATTATTCATCCAAGTTATAAAATAGTAAGAACTGATCAAATGATGAATGTATTGTAAAAGGTTCAGAAATCCAAGTTAAATGAGAAAATTATTTAACCATAATTTAAATGAAAAATTTTCAAGCTGCTTACAAGTTTATAAAAAGATACGCTTCAATATATAATCTTGTTCAATGAATTCAGGATAAAATTTTTCCTGGCTCTTCCAACAAAATTGATTTATAAACGAATGATTATGAAAGCAAAATTCCATCAAGAACTATCAACCAATAGGAACCTGAACCTCCAAGAAGAATTAATTCTCTATCTCTAAATTGTAGAAATCTAATGTCTTTGATATATAAATATATTATTGATACATTTTTTTTTAATTTAACAAAAAAAGAATAAAATTATTAAATTTAGATAATTATGAAATTTTTTTATTGTTTTAAAATAAAAATATATATTAAAAACAAATATTTGAAAGTAAATAAATACCATGATTTAATAATAAAATAATATTAAAGTTTAAAATAAAATTCTGTCATAATGGGCATTTTGTTGTTCTCATGCTCAAAATGGTAGAATGCATTTTTCTAATTTTTTTTTTCTCAAAATTTTGATTGCGTACCTGGACAGTGGCTGGTGCACTCGACCTTTTGCCTGGCGTTGCCTGGGCAGTTGGCGCCGCCGTTGAGGGGCGCCGGCGCCGTGCACTGGCGCTGTCTGCTCTGTTGGCCGCGACCGCACCGGCTGCTGCACTCGCTCCACGGTGACCACGGCGTCCACCCTCCGTTAACTAAGGCAGAAACAACACCAAATTACGCCCTAAAACAACCAACTGACAATGGATGAGATGGACGGGGGCTTCTTTTTATTGTGGGAAAATCGGACCGGCCCCTGCATGCGGGCTGCTTTTTTGTTGAATCTCATGTTTTTCAATTACACGAGCTCTGTGTTTGTAGAAGAACAAAGCGAAAGTTTTCTTTCACCGCAAAGCGCGCACATGCTGTTTTCTCTTTCCAGTTTGATTTTGCAAAGAGCTTCGCACGAAAGAGAGAGATCAAGAGAGACGGAAATATAAATTAAAAGGCCCTCTCGCCGATGTCGTCGCTCGCTCTTTGTGCGCGCCAATTAACGGCTTTAAAATCAAAAAGGAATTACCAGCATTAGCAAATTAAAACGTACACGCACCCTCCGTTCAGTCAAATATTAATTAAGTGATCGCAAAGAGCAATTAGGGAGATTACCCTGCGAGCGGACCAATGACTCATCCTTTTCGCTGTCTGGTTTCCAACAGGAAAAGAGGAAAGTTTTATTTTATCGCGCGCACCATCATCAATTTTGATAACTTCCCTAGTTGGGAGAACAACAAGATATCGCTCGCCGACAACAAGACAGCCAGCAATCGACAATCGCCCCCCTTTTCTTTTCTTTTGCTTTCTTTATTTCTTTGTGTGTCCGCGCGCAATTTCTTCTCTCGTCCCCCCTTCCTCTCTTGCAGACTCCATAAATCCGCGTGCACTTTCATTCACTGGATAATGTTTCTTCTGCACCCGTCCGAAGCGAAAACCAACCCCAACCGCGCCACCCCCGCATGAATCGCAGCCGCTTCTTCGGAAATGGTCTGCGTCTGTCGACAACAAAAGTAAAAATTGGGGGAGAAAAGAGTGGCTTTTGCCGGAGAAAGGCGAATAAAAGTCGCGAATGATGATCCAGCTTGGCCAGAGAATGAGGCAATCAATCATGTTGCCAACTCGCAAAGTGACAAAAACTTCAACTATACAGTGGAGAAAATGTTGTTTTTAATTAATGTATTGTAATTTTATCCCATTTGACTTGATTTGTGAAGAATAAACAACAATAATTGTGCTATAATTAAAATAATAATAAAAATATAAAAAATATTCTAAAAAATTAGTTATTTTTATACTATTTTTTTATTCTCTTATTTTTTATTACTTATTAATATTTAAATTTTAACTTGATATCCCTATTTGTTTTGGATAAAGTATTATCTGGTACTTTATGCTTTAAATAATTTAATTTTATTTATATATTTTATTTTAAAATATATATAAGTTCTCGCATCAACAACAATCGTTTAACCTCCGTGGCAATCGCTAGCTAACCTTTTCAATCTCCTTTGTAAACAAATATTATTATCATTGCAAGAATACTAGACATAACAATATAATTAAACAAGTGAAATATATTAAATTAGTGTGTAGTAAAATTGATGAAGGGAGCTATCAATTATAAGTAAACCTAGCTGATGAGCTTTCAATAAGCGAAATCATGATCCTAGTCATGTTCAGGGTGTTGCCGCTTGTCTTAATTTTTGAGTTTTAAGTGGAAATGTTAATTATTTTAAAACAAAAATTTTAATCTGTTTTAAAAAATAATTAAAATTTCCAATTAAAAGTTGAAATTAGGACATTTTAATTCGTTTTTCCGAGCATTGGTTTTCTCGCTCAGTTTCTGAATCCACGTTAAAATTCTTTTGAAAAAATGAAATTTTTACATTACAAAACAGCACGATTGCCCCCCTTGATGAAATCACTTTTCTAGGAATTGAACCAGTCGAAATTCAACTCAATTGTGAAAGTTTTGCATCAACGAATGTGGCAAAATAATAATAAAAAAGCTTTTTTTTTTCAAATTTTCTCTGCAATTTCCGAAACAGTTGCTAATGTTTGCGACCCTAGATGAAAATACCTTTTTAAGAAATTAAACCTTACTAAATGCCATTCTTATCCAAGTTGAAAAAAATAAAAAAGGAAAATAAAAATCGCCAGAAGACGATAAAACTAATAAAAATCTCATATATTCTGAATTTTATTGAAAAAAGAAACCGAATAATTTAATCAATCTATTTATGTTTTTCCTTTGTATGCATAAAAATATCAAATAAAACGAATATTGTATTGAAAGCGAGTCGTACACACACTAATGATTTTGTGCAAGCGAGGGTGACCAGAACACGCGTGTATGAAGCGATAAATTAGCTTCAAACACTTTGCTCTGCGTCCCTCTGTACGCAGAGCTTTTATCGGCGCGCGTCCCGTGATTAGCTAAATCAATTTATTACACACAAAACGAGCGCGATAAGGAATTTATGTCCGGGCAGACCGAGCACGGTGTAATCCCGTGCGGCATTGTTATTCAAATTATTGATGATGGCAGGTGTTGGGCCGAGCGCGCGCGAAACATCCACACGGCGTGTGCTGTTTGCCATTCTGGCGGCACGCGCAGAATGTAAATTTCAAAAGCTGAATTTTTCACTCGGTTTAATTACTCGGCATGAATTAAACAATTTTTGCTCATTCGAAAATACACAAAAACAATCTCACGTGAATTATTGCCTCGTTTTCCAGACGTAAATTTCCAAACAATGGTGCTTTTTCGTCGCCCCAACACTCGAATATGCTTTCGCAGTGAATATTTTTTGGCACCGTTTCAACGCATGAATCATTTTAGGGGGAAAATCGTATCCGAGCTTAGACAATTTGTGTATTAAGGACAAAAACGGGCCCTCAGGGCCACTTTGCTCTTGGTTGCGAAATTCCGCGCCCAAGAACAATATAATTGAATTCATTTGGGTCTCTCGATGGTCTCGGGTGCGAACAGAGAGGAAAAATAAATAAATTACTCTGGCGGAAAAGCGAGCTGGCTGCCGTTGTGTGCGAAATAATCCCTTTGTTGCCGGAGAGATCCGTTTAATTTATGCCGGCAGGATGAAAATTTCTCACTCGCCTTTGTTTGTTTCGCGAACACGGCTTGACTTGGTAATATTCGCCTACACAATGCGAGAGTGAGTCGTCGGCCGCCGGATGTAAACACACCCTAGCCCTGTGTGTTGTTCTCTCTCATCTCATCTCTGTGCTGAAATAAAGAAATGCCGGAAGCCAGCCTCTCGTATGAATTGCGATGCTCTGTGCTGCTCATCAGCAAGCAGCAGGTGCATCCATCTATCTCTGCTCATCTATCCGGCAAAACAAGGACGGCGACTCCGCCATTCATCCCGAATAAAAAAAAGCAGCCCATCTGCGAATACTTGTGCAAAATTGAACTCGGAGCGCTTCGGCGAGGATACAATGGCTGGATTCTAGTTGCGAAAAAGCAATTCGTTGTTTCAGCCCCAAGAGAAATTATTACCAGTTTCATTTTATTTTTTTTTACTCGAATATCCAATGCACTTTCATTTCATAATAAATCGAATCACAAATGAAATAAATAACAAATTTGTTGTAATTATAATTTATAAATAAACTTAATCTTAGTAAAAATGACACTAATAAAGGAAAAAATGGACTAATTACAATAAACATTTTCATCTCTGTCTGATCTAAATTATGATATTCATCTGAAATATTTTTATTTAAATTTATTAATAAATAAACTAATAAATAAAAAGATTCAAAATAAACAACTAAAAAATTAATAAATTTTAAGTCGGAAATTTTTAACTTATAAAATTTACATAGTAATGTTATTCTTTCCACTATTTATCATTAATTATCCACTCCGGTCAATTGTATTGCTCTTTATTTTGAAAGATTGCTAAATTTCGAGTATATCTTGTGAAAACACTATTTGAAAATTCCAAAACGTTGCGTCGCAATCAAAAGAAAACCTAAATACGAGTGATTCGCGCGAAAAACATGTGAGAATTGAGTTGCCAATCAGATCCATCAGTTTGTTCCTAAAACTACAAAATTTGGTCACATTGGCGCTGCGATCGCTGATTTTTCCACTAATGCCCCACGGCGCTGCAGAAAACTTAGCAAAATCAGCGATCGCAGCGCCAATGTGACCAACTTCTGTAGTTTTTGGAACAAACCAGACCCAGCCACGCATGAGCAGGAGACGTGGTGGGGGAGAGCGAGTTTTGCTGGCGCTGCTGTTGCTTTCCCAGTGACGTAACTGGGGAAGGAAAACCCATGCCGCTCCCAGCTGCTCCCATCTAAATGCATCGTTTTGCACTCTTTGCCGCGTTTTTCGGTCAAATATTGTCGATTCAAGGCGGTTTTGAACATAATCTGCAGGTGTCAGACTAGTTCGGAACCTAGGGAAGCTTTGGCAACGAAGAAAAAGCATCTCAAATCAGCTGGAAGCACGAAAAGCCACGAAAATACGGCCAATATCTCCGTGACGGCGAAGTTGCGGCTCAAAAAAGCAGCGGATAACTCGGATTTTTTACGTTTTGTGAGTCGATATGTGCTTCAGTGCCGGGATGTCAACAAATTAAGTCGTTTCTGATCATATTTGTGCATGTCCGATTGTTTTTTGTGAGAGAAAAGCGGAAACGAGTTTAGCAACCGGACAAGTTGTCCCACGGAATTAACCAATATCTCGCTCTGATTCAATGTTTTAGAATTTTGGCGATTGAAAAGTTTATATTTTTAGAATAATTAAAGCATGAGGAAAATCGCTGTGTTATTTATTTTTTAATCCGAGCAGCCGTTGTCTCGCTATGAGCATAATTACGCGGCGGCCACTGCTTTGTTGCTTCGCTCGGCTCTCTCTCGCTCGAGTCGCCCGACTGCTGCACTCGCGGGTGGAGAGCGGCGCGCTCGATTAATTAGACGTTTGCGCGAATTTTTTATTTTATTAGTAAGCGTAGAGATAAATCGTTCAAATTTTCAGCATTGGTAGCAAACTAACTGAATTAATTTTTTATTTTTTATTCTTAAAAAAATATTTATCTGGAGCAAAGTTATTAATGTTTCCGCGAGAATTTTGTTCTTTTAATTTTTAAATTAGACAAAAAATTTTAAAAGTACAAACCCTAACAGA